TGTAGCGGGGGACGATGAAGCATAAGACTAGGCCTAGGTAGGCCTAACTAAGACAGTGAAATTATATGTGATAGAAAGTACACTTTCGGAATAAATAAATAAAAAAAAGAAAAAAATAATAACTAAGAATAATTCATTTGCAGAGGTACCTTATTTAAGTATTATAAAATGCATCTAACAATGCGGCTCTTGTAGCCCTGGCTTGGGCAAGGCATCCATGTGCAAAGCAGTGGTGTTTGTTTATCCATGAAAAAAGCACGCCGGGAAAGTTTGCCTTACTAGGATAAGGTGATGTATCTACCTTATGACGTATGCCTGCTAACTAAAGTGAGTGTGACGTCACCAAAAAATGAATATTTTCTATCATAACCAAAATATTAATAACTACAAAGTTTCTGGGCGTAAATTCCCTTAATATGAATGAAGGGTTGCTCAATCTCCTTGCCATACAAATTACAGCTCCTACTGACGTCTCAGTCGAGAAATACGGATAGCTGAAGTTTTTCTCGCAAATCTGACTACAAAACCATATCCAAATTCACGTTCCACTTCTGAGCCTGTGTTGTGCTTCGCACACGCCGCTGAGGGCGGCGTTCCGGGAACCCTGCGTCTAGAGATAGGCCTAGACCTACTGTATTTTGCTGACTAATAACAATTAACTTGTGATGTTAACAACAAAACTTTTTTACAGTATGTCATGAATTCAATATAACCAGAGAGTACAAACATCAACAATAATATGTCAGGGAACTCAATCTCAAGTATTGTACTTGCAGAGCCGTGTCAATCAATAAAGGTTGTTTTTACAAATATGATTTAGTTTTAGTTTAACATTCGATAGATTTGAAGAATATAAAAATTTGCTAAAGGTAAACCAGGCCCAATTAGGTTAGCCGTCACAGTAAAAGTGGCCGTCCTCAATAATTGTTGGCCGTCCAAAAGACGGCCGGACGGCTCGCTGGCTAAGCTTATGCCACTGACATATATTTTATTTACTTTGCCTTGATTTTATATAAAATGTTTAATAGGAATTAATAAATTATTAATAGCAAAAGCTAGTGGAATGACAAGTAAGTAAAATGAATACATTTACAAGTAGCAGAAAAGCTGGAAATATAACATAATGAAAAATTTAATAATAAATAATAAAATTTAATAATAAACATAAAAGTAATAGATTGTATGTTTTTAAATTATTTATGCAAGAAAATTCAATGTTAATTTGGCTTGTTTCTTTCCAGTTACAATCAAAATTGATTAAAATGTGGCATGCTTACTTTACAATAATCCACTGTTGTACATATCCCTTCTCTAAAATCATCCACTCTTTTCTGTCAGTTGACCTCAAGTATTTATACTAGTATATCCTATGTCATGTATCTCATCCTCCTCCTTTTACTTTGTCTTGGTGTCACCTCTGTTGTTTCTTTTTTCATCTCTTGTCAATTCTTCTGGCAACATGTCCTGCCCACATCCACATCTTCTTGCCAATTCAACCATTACATCTCTAACCCCTATTCTTCTGATTGTTCTGAATGGTGTCCTGTCTAGATTACTGATACGTGAAATGCATCTTACATGTCGCATTAAATATTTCTGTGGTCTTTCTGGTGAGATGCCAGGTTACTGAACCATAAGTCAAGACAGCAATGCATACTAAGTATACTTTTTGTGTGAAGCACATTAGAATCTTGTGGTTACATATTAATTATGTCATAAAATAAATACATTTGTGCCTTACCTAATAATTAGGTTTCTTTCAACGAGTCCATTGTATGCTATTAGGCTTTGTTTCTTAATTGTACTGTCCTAAACTGTACTGTGTAAATATGCAAGGGACTCCATGTTATATTGAATTTAAACCTAATGAGAAAGTGGGTGACAAGCTTTGAACATGAACATGACATATTGCCGACTTTATAAAATCAGGGGAATGGTTGATTTCACAGAAAAGCAGCTCTAGTGTATAAATAAGCTAACATTATATTTATGTATGAATTATAAATTATTTTTTTGGCGTAATGACAATTTCTAGAAGCCACCAGTGGGTCCTGTATTGAAAACTTGGCATTTTTGTTATTTTTTAAGCTGTTTTGAAGTGTTTTATAATGTATTATGTTCGAAAAAGTTTACATATATTTTTTTCATTTTTGAACCTGAGTCATAGCCAACATGGGCTCACCTGTTTGACGCAGAGGTTACTTACCCTTTTACTCTACCCCGGCCCTCGGCTGGCATTGCCACTGTTTCAGAAAGTAAAATCATCACCTTATTCAAATCTGTATCTTCCTATCTTAGCATGATACATACATGCATTATGTACAGGAAAGAGAAAACATTAATTTAACCACTTCATCTTGCCAATCACCCATCAGCCACGAGGCACATATGGCTACCATGTGGACATTTTTATTGGATTTAAACCTCACCATAAGGTTTAAATTACAAAAATAAAAAATATACAAATTGGTAAAAAGTTGAAAAGTGTGGGGATAATGAAAACCATGTGTAAAATAAACAGGCATTGTTTTCACCTTCCGTCATTGATGAAAAACAACAAAGAAATTATTCCCCTGCTCATACCTAGAGTAAATGTAGTTAATGTTAACAAGAAGGATTTTGTTTTACCTGTCTAATAAATAGAAGCTTAGAATGTTGATGGAGTTTTGGTATAGCTTGGTGGTTAAGATGCTTGCCTTCTAATCCTATGGTCCTGGGTTCAAATCCTGTAATGTTGGTGGAGTGGAGCTACAGTATAGCTCGGTGGTTAAGATGCTTTCCAATCCCAGGATCCTCGGTTCAAATCCTGCAATGTTGATGGAGTGAAGCAGATTTGCTTTGTGGTTTGGATGCTTGCCTTCCAATCCCAGGGTCATGGGTTCAAATCCTGCACTGTTGATGAAGTGTTGCTGTAGCTCGGTGGTTGATATCTTGCCAGCTAATCTGGGAATTTTGAATTCAATTTTGCAAAGTTGATGTAGTAAAACTGTAGCTTGGTGATCATGATGTTTTCCTTTCAATATTGGTGGTTAAGATGCTTACCTTCAAACCTAGGGTCATGGATTAAAATCCTGCAACATTGATGGAATGGAGCTAGCTTGGTGGGTAAGAATGATTATCTTCCGGGGTCCATTTCCAAATTTATTTCAGCACATAAACCTTGAAAACATTGTTACACCACCTTAAAGGCAGTATACCTTATAACAAAAATTATATAATAATATAATAATAAGTTGATTTATAAGGTGCAAATAAAGGACTCTAAGCATCATGTCCAAGTAATGAAAGGCAAGGTGAATGTAAAGATCTAGAATAGACTATCCTAAAATTAACAAAAAAAAAAAGAAAAGAAAACCACAAAAACAGACTGGTGCAGGGAACCAGCAATATTGCACCGTTTTCTTGCAAATTGAGACCACTGTTAAAAGCAGTGGTCAGCAAGGTCATCACTCGCAGGTGCTCTAATGTTTTTGGCATCTAACTGGCCTGCCAAAACAGAGGTGAGAAAAAACCAGTTCAAAAGGAGAAAACAAGAGATCACAAAGATGCAAATTGTGAGTTTTAAGCTCCTTCTTAAAAGTAGCCAATGAAGGAGACTCGCGAATATGAGCAGACAGATCATTCAACAGTTTGTGAATTAATAGCAGTTTAACAGTTTATTAATTAATAAACATATTTGAACATGAATATATATCAAATCAAATCCTTCAATTAGATGAAGGATTTCATTTACATCAATATAAATCAAATCCTTTCATTTAAGTATGTATTTTCATTCTTAGTTCAATAAACTTATTTTTATATTTTGTGTTTTCTTAGCTCTGGAATCATGCAAAAGACGTTTAGTATCAATGAACCTTCCGACAATACCAGACCACCTCACAGATGTTGAGAGGAGTATCTACATCTCATCTATTGTACCATTTGAACATGAGAAAGTTGTAAGTGAAGTGTCAATAATCATAGGCATATTTTTGTTTTGTTGAGTGGTGGGCTCTAGCCATGGGGCCAGAAATTTGCCAATAAGGGGTCTGACGTGTCCATCGGAGGGGTCCAAACCCGGGGCCAACTAGAGCCTCGGTCGACGGCCCGGAATAAACAATCCCTGGTGTAGGGTTCAAGGGAAGAGTTTTTATGGCTTAGTATTGTCTAAATTGTGCTTTTAGACCACAATATTAGGGGTTCTAAAGCAATCAAATTAACGTTATTTTATATAGGCAAATTATTATTTTATTTTTGATCTGAGAACCTAGTTGTGGCCTTGGACGACAGGGGGGTCCAGGTCTGTCCGACAGGGGGGAAGATTTCTCTGGTAGGCTCCTGGTTTTTAAGGGTGATTTAAATAATTATAATGATGTTATAGACACCAAGGATTTGTGGAAGGTGCCTATATAAAAAATACTGATTTTTCACTGTCCTTGAAGAGCTTTATCAGATAAATGCAAATTTCTGGATGAACATAACAGATTAGAAATGTCTACATTTCAAACAAACATGAGTAGTCTAATTCCGGAACTTTGAATTAATATTAATAATACATTGTAGTTATAATACAAATGCTTATAATAATTATATTAATCCTTATGAATACTTACACTATATGAATATAGTAAATACTTGTGAATCATAAAATTTCTATTTACATAATGCTTGGATCAATATAATCTTTATAAGTAAAATATAATCATATAATTCCAAATTGATATTAAATTTAGTACTGTACATATTAATAACCATAAATTACATAGTTATATAATCCTTTATACTTATGTACTACTTAGAAATGATATAAAATTTATAATATTACATAATTATATACGGTAATCCTTTACTTATGTACTAATTAGAAATGATATAAAATTTATAATATGCATAATCACATGATTAAGTATTAATATTATTATGAGTAAGTATACTTAATAATTATATCTTTTATATAAACCGTAATTGTTGTCAACAAATTTAGTTTATATTAAATTCAGCTTTTCTTAAATGTTGACACAAGTCATGTCTTATAAATATAAACTGATCCAACACGGGATGCGCCCATTTTTGATGCACAGCATGGAACTTAAAAATCACTCAGTAATGTCAACTAATGTCACGTGCCAACATCAGGGCCGACATAATGTGATGTTTCAGGGTACAGATGTATGTATCTGGGCATGTTTATGTTTAGTTTAACCTACATTTGTGGGTTTCTGTGGCATATGTGAAACATCAGTCCTGCTAGCAATGTCTCTGTAGGCTTCCTGTATGTACCTCAAGGTAGAGACCTATTCGTTATTATGGACAGTACATGAAATCAATACTGTATTATTAAAAACATCGTTATTGTAGACAATAATAAATGCAATGCAACTTATCAGTAAATCATTAAAAACTTTTTTCATCTGTTAAAGTTGATGATTTTGTATGTGTGCTTTTTTAAATATTAAATATACTAAGGTATATTTTGATTTTGATTTTTTTCTAATCATCAAGTTAATAATATCTATATCACTTTATTCTAAGTTTTGTTGAATCTTAATAATTTTCTAATATTTATGTAATAGCTGTTTATTTATTTATTTATTTATTTATTTATTGTTAAATAATCTCACTTCCAACTGTAAAAACACATAAAGGTCACAATTATTATTACTATATTATTATTTTTAGGCAGCAAAATGCTGTTTGCTTAAATACTAAGTGGACGATACTGATCTTAGCATCTGAATAATTTTTTTGGTTTATATTAATTAGACTTTTCTATTTTTATGTACCATTTGTCAGTGTATATTTTCTGGGATAATCCCATAGCTCTATCAACTACTACCACCCAAAAACACACTGGGGTAACAAACATAGAGGGCGCTATGAATATAGTTAAAATCAGTTTTTATAATTATTTATAAAAATTTATTTATTTATAAAAAGTTTTTATAACTTATTAATAATATAATTACACAATAATGATCAGTATTTTATTATTAATTTCTACTTTATTTTTATCTTATCTTAATTATGTACAAATTTCTATATTGCATGATGAATTCTTGATTTCTTGACTCTTGGTTCTTGGTGAGGTAGGAGTTAATTACGATTGCGCTTTAAGATTGCCCTGCTTGTATCTCTGTATTTTTAGAGTTCATATCTGTGAAATAAATAAAAGATAAAGTAAAATTGATATGTAGATCATTTTTTGATATTGTTTTAGATCCGTGCTGCTGGGGCTCTGTTGAAGTTTTTAGAGAAGCAACGTGTTGGTGTTGAACTAGAAGATGCCAGTGTGAAGGTGCCAATTGTATCCCTCAACATCTTTTCTTTGTAAGTATTACTATTTACAGTTGTGTGGATAGAAGGTGACCTTGCAGGTTTACAACAGTAACAGATATATGATGTGGCTATGTGAGTTAACATCAGACACATACATGATACCTGATCAGTTGGCTGAGTATTAGTGAGCTTTCGCATCAACGACGGACGGACTCAAGGACGGTAATCTGACACGAAAATCGATCTGCACATGCACGACCCCAGGCATCTTCTCGTTCTTGGCAAAATCACAAACTGTTTTTTGGCCAATTCATTGTCTGTGGAAAAACGACTAACTCAAGCAGCCAATCACCGCTCTTTAGGGATACCTGAAAAAAGATGGTGTGGAAGCTTAACAGATGTCACACACTACCGTTCGTACTTCATTTGCAAAACTGCGAATGATCAAACCGCAGACGAGTATCAAGGATGGTCACAGTTCATTGCTTTTAGTCCTATTGTTCCTGTTTTTTGTGGTGAAGACACTGGTCCATACCTGGTCAGCATCGGGTTTGAATTGGAGTCTGATAACTTGGCTCCTTGAATGTCCCTCACATTGAGGTGGGTTAAGGACAATGTTTGTCTCCGTATGTGTCTTTTATATGTTGTAGTTAATTAGGGTTGCGCTACGCTGCAAGTTCCCAAGGGCCCAGCTCAAATTTCCAATTTTCAATTAGAATGAGGATCAATAAAAAATTTTAAAAAAAGAAATATTTTTATCATTGGAATAATCTTAGTGATTTATTAGTACACGGATACGTCCTCATACTTAATGCCTCCATGTTATCTTTCTGGTTGAGCTGTGCCTAAAGACATGAGTCTTCAATCAGCATAGATCTAGGAGAACTTGATGACCGAATGGGGTCAGTGAGGGTAATATGGTACTACCAACCGGCATGGAATGAACTCCAAATAGGGCCACTTAGATAACTTTCAACATTACCTGTACAGAGGTATTTAATAAGAATATAAGGGCCTTGATAGAGTATCAACCACTTAGCAAATATAATGCCATATGACATCTGTGCTGTATCAGAGGTAAAGGACATTTTAAATCTTGATTGGACTCTGATATCAATATTGAAGAACTCATGCAACCGCCTACTTCCTAATTTAACTGCTGTTCAGATACAGATACAGACACATCTCATTTGAAGGATTGTATGTTTTAACATTGTGTGCTGCACGCCTCGAACCGAAGCACAACTGAAAAAAGAGGCATACACTTTATAGAGTGACTGCTGTAGTTGTATTAATGCATAGTTTAGTTATTATCCACAAATTTTATTTCTTTTTGTTTAGGAAGGACACCCTTTTCCTTGAGGAAAACACATACAGCGCACTTCAGATATTCCAGAAGGAATCTCACCCATCGGCATACAAGAGTGGAGGGAGTGGGGCCAAAGAGGGACTTAGTCTTTTTGGTAAGATTTTTAATAAAACTAGAACCAACTCAATACATATATTTTAAAGATAATTGACTTTAAATTAAAATGCAATATTTATAATTACTTTATAGTTAACTTTGCATTGTATTGCATTCCTGTTGAAAATGTGAATGAAAGTGCACTTTTACAATGAGATGGTAGCAGGAAAGAATAACAAGGGAAGTTTCTATTGTTAGATCAGACCCCCTTTTGGATTGAAACCCTCCCCGATCCCACACCCACTTACTGATAAAACCAAACCTCTTTCCTACCCTTGCATCAAACTATTGATGAAATTCACCATTTATAGGCTAGAGGACTTCAGCATCAGGGAAATTTCACACTGACCCATCACAACAGAAATTCCGCTGGACCCAATGAGGGTGCCTAGGTTCTAGGTTCCTTTTAGGTCTCGTAAAGCCCCGTTATAGTATTACTGTATTCTGTAGTACTGTAAGTAATTTTGCATGGCTGACCTTTTGAAACCCCGCATCAAGAACGATAGTTTTGCAACTGCAACCACTTTAACAACTGCTACAACCTTTAACAAAAATTAGCAAGTCACTAATTGGTAAATGTTATGTTCACTATGAATAATCATTTTTATTTTTTCAATAAAATTTGTCTTAAATTTAGGAATTTTGAATAAAACCAAGTCAGTAATAGGTAGCAACCTAATGAGGTATTATCTATCGCTCCATTTCTTCAGAAATTTCAAAATGTGTATAAAGAATGAATGAGTTATATTTATGAACATTATTGTTTTATTTTACATTTATTATTTTTTCAGTGAGTTGATTTTTGATTTTATAATCAGATATTAATTTTTAAAGTGTTTGTTTTTGAGTTCCTGTTAGTTTTTGCTAATAACAGTAATTTTTATTAATGCTCATACACGTTGTTTTACAAACTTATGTTTTTAAAGATCGTCAGAAAAAAAAATTGTTTTCTTATTTAGCAAATAGTTTTGTCTAAAACATCCTGATGGGGGTGGAAATAAAAATAAAATTTTATTGTTGAATGTAAACAGTGTAGTAATGGGATGGTTAAATGCTTTATTTATATAATTAGGAAGAAATATACTTATTTTTTTAGATTTTAAGGCTGTGGTAGGCCTAATAAACATAAAGATAAAAACTGGTATTTGTTTTTAAATTTCTTTTATTGACAGGTGGCGGGTTTGCTAAACAAGGAATAAAAAAAGCCTTGCCTCTTGTATAGCATTTAGAAGCATCTTTATTGTATTATGCACTATATAAGACATTATTATATTATTATATTATTATTACTATTGATTGTTATACACCAGTGTTCTCCCGAAGCCGTCTTAGCCGTCAATTTTACCGGTAAAAATAACCAACCAACCAGTAAAAATTTTGAGTTTGTAAAATAAAAAAAACTATTGATTAGGCTTAGGTAGACCAGGCTGGCCCTCTTAATAAATTATCATCATTCCAGTCTATATCTACACTACATGAATATGTGTTGTGTCTTCAAGTCATTTAACCCAACTAAAAAGGGGTAACGTACCTCACATTGTGCGCATTGTAATTTTTTATGGACAAATTTACCAGTAAAAATTTTTCAGTTGGGAGAACACTGTACACCCTTCAGAAAAGAGAGGAGGTTTTACTCTCTACTGCCCAATGGTAATAATAGTATTAATTAATTATATTAATAATGATAACAATAACAAATTAACATTTGCAACTATACAAGAACCAAACATAATGTATACAGCCACTAATGATAACAACAACCACAATAAAAAAAAAAAACTGTTTATTGTTATTTTTTATTGACGGGCTGTGAAGGGTTTCATGCTATGCCCGAGACGCAAGCATTTCATGGTACATACAATAATTTTTTTTTTTTTTAATAACAACTTACTTTTCCTAGAATTGTCTTCCTTGTTTTATTTTTAGTGATATCATTTATAAAAAAAATAATATACAAAGAAAAGAACTAATTTAATTTGGATCAAGGCAGACATAACTTTACATAGGAAATTAACAAAAATATTGCAAGGTTTGGTCAGGTTTTTACACATTGTCAATTGAATAGCATCAAAATATATTTTAATTAGATTAGGAAGCTTGTTCCATGTCTTAGTTGCATGGTATACAAATGTTCTCTTGCTTTGTACAAGCTTCCAATCCTGCCCCATCAAGTTATTGTTTGATTAAAAGTAAATTTTGTGCAGTGTACTTTAAAATTGTTATACACATTATCTCATTATATTGCATTTGACAACTACAGCACAATTTTTCTACTGTTATAACAGTAGCAATTGTTAACAATAACAATAACAAAAACTATTGTTATAACATAAAACAAGGTTTAATTAAATTTTTTAATATATTTTTTTAACCCAGCTAATCTTTCCTAGTGTTTCAGTGGGTTTATAGTTCTTTCATTAAAGTTACTTTCATTTTCATTTTCTGTTTATATAGTTTAGTTTTGACTTGTAAAGAAAATATATTGCTTTTTATTAATTTTTTTTTTGTTTGCTTTATTATTTTAAACTTTTAGGATCTGGTTTATGCGGCCCTCACGTGACATAAATCTTCTACGCCAGCGTCAAGAAGCTGTTGCGTTTTTCATGTCACCTAGAAACATTGAGGTTGTGTCATCTTTGCAGGATTGTCTCAAACACATTAAAAATGTTCCGGTATGCTCCTGTTTTTAAATAATGAATTTGTAAGAAGGAGGTGACAATTAAAATGATGATTTGCAAACAAATTAATGATCTAATTTCAAAATTCAATTTGAGATATTTATTTCACATTAATACAAAACTTATACAACAGCAGTACAAACAATTGACTGAAAATGTTATATCTACTAGAAATCTCATAATTGCTAAAACTTAATTAAAATTACAAAAAAATTCATAAAAGTAAATATTTAAATGATTAAATTTACAAAAAGTTCAAAATTGCTAATAATTAAATAATTATTTTTACAAACAAAATTCATAAATGCAATTAAATTAGCATGAAACAAGATGAAAAAAAAACAACAATCATACACCCACAAAAGTAAAAATTTTTAAAATTAACAATAAGTTCTTATTTGAGTATTAATTGATTAGGTAATTACATTGAGAATTGCAATTTAAAAATATAAGAAAAATTTTTTTTTAAAACACATGCACACACACACAAAAACCAACAAAACTTACAAATAAGAAATTAAGATAATTGATAATAAATTCTTATTACTGCATTTATTCAGTGCTTTAAAAATTCAATAAAATAATTAGATATAAATTTGCAATAATTTCAAAACATCAAAAAATATTACAAAGATTAAGAACTTTAAATCAAAATGAAAAGAAGACGCTATTTTGCCACCAATTTTTTTTTTTTTAAATTTTGATGCATATCAATATTATGTACTACTCACTTATATATTCTGAAGCTACTGTTGTGCCCCCCTCCCCACACCCATTTGAAAAAATCTGGATCTGCCCCTGTGGTTCTGAAGAGAGCAAATGATATGAGGCATGTCATCCCAAAACCAGCATACAAGTAATTGTGAAACTGAGTAAATAGCAGAGGATTGTGGCTCTGCAATATTGTATATGTGAGTACAGAGAATCCGTAATACTTTTATTCATAACTTTGGCAATAGAAAGACGATTCCAGTAAATGACCTATCATTTTACAGCTTATAATGTGAAGAACATGAATGCCGTATTAAAAAGTTAATTTTCTTATTTCGGTCACTGATACTGGTTTTGGAATGGCAAGCCCCACATAGAGTGAAACAGATAGGTTTTAAATTGGAGTATAAATTAAGTCAGATTGGATGAGGTTTTGACAGACAGGAAAGATGCAGAAAATGCAAAGATCATTTGATCATATGTTAATTCAAAACTTTTTTGTTCTTTTAAATGAGTAATTTAAAGTTTAGTATAAAATTTGTGATTTTAAAATAAAAAGGTATCACAGACAGAATGTGTTTAATTGATTGATCAATGTTTTCTTGATTTTCCAGAGAATCCTGTCCAAAATGAAGCAGGCCCAGGCATCTATAGGGGACTGGCAAGCATTATATAAGGTAAAAAGAAATTGTGGAATAATGGTGAAGGTACCCCTCCTCCATGCCTATAGGTCAAATTGCTCCAAATTTTCTTATGGCTAAATTTAATATATTATTCTTTGTCAAAATATGAAAATATATTTCCAATTTCTATAGATTTAGCTTGAGTGTAATAATAACTGTTTATTAATTATAAAGTGTATTTAATTTTCTTCATAAAATTAAAATATAATTGCAATGGAAGACCTACTAAGATAATTATTGGGTCACTTTCAAGATTTATGTTTTTGTTTTTTGATATTTAATGTAATATTTTGCATTTTATATATATAGTAATCATTTTATGTATATAGTAATCATTAGGACAAAATAAATGAAATGAAATTTATCATTCTGACACTTTCTATTCTTCATTCTCTTCACAATCATGGACAGCATTACCATGTTATATGGTAAACTTTGTAAATAAATAAATAAATAAATAAACAACATGAAACCTTAAATTCTTAACAGTTCTAATATCACCAAACAGCATTATATTATATAAGTTGTTTTTATTTTTTTCAGACTGCCTACAATGCTGTGTACATTGGGGATATTTGTAGATCACAGCCAGCAGAATTAGAAATCTTTAGGAAGGTAAATAGGCGAATAATGTCCTTGTCCCTTTGTTTATTCCAAGAATTTATTATTTTTGCATTTATTATTATTTAATGTAATAATATAATAATAATAATAATGGTTGACTTATGGAGCACATAATATGGGACCCTCTATGTGTTTATATCAATAATATATCAAATTTAGTGTCGGGATTCAATATTTCAACATTATTATTATTATTATTATTATTATTATTATTAAAACTTTATTTTTACACGGAAAGCTTGTTTCACCCAGAGGGTGTTATTCTACAAGGCCGTGTTGTCATTGAAGTTACTTAGACCTTTCTTTTCAAATACAGCACAATTAACGTTCAGTTAGAATATCAGAGTGTTCATATTTGGTAAGGTTTGAAGTAAACAACATTTGTAAGTTTAGGGATTCACTTTCATTTAATACTGATAATTCGGCTTCATCTTCTTTGCCTTCATTTCAGTGTCGATTTCCACACATCAGGAATGATGATGACATAATTAATGAGACTAGTAATATGGATATAGGAACCACTTCATTATGACTTCAAAAAATAGCTGAAATGAAAGAACATCAAGTATTTTTATAGTGAGCCCTTATTGTTATGGTTTTGAATTTAAAGATTCTTTGAATGCTGCCCTCTATGGTACTTTTCATTTTGTCTTACTTTAGATCAATCATATTTGAGATGGTGATACCCTATTCTGTCAGGTCATAATGGACTTGGTTCTTAGTTTTAAAGGGTTTGAGTTGAGTTTGTAGTGTAGTTAATTTGTTAGCAAGTTACTTAATCTGTAATCACATCACCTTCAGCCATGATTAGTGTGCATCACTGCCAGGGTAAAATTCTACCTTGTACCCTACAATTTTTTCTGTCTCTTGCTCTCATGTACTAATCCCTATGCAATGAGGGTTCTCACTATACATTGATTTGTGATTGTTTTTTTTTAGCCATCCATAAATATCCAGATGTAAATGTTGCATTCAGGAAGTCTGAATAAAGAGACTTAATTATATATAAATTATACGGAATAAAACTAAATTATCAAAATAAAGAGCATATCACGGTTGATTTTTTTTTCAGAAATTAAATACAGTTATTTAATTCAATATTCAGCTCAATTTGATATTATTGCTTTAAATATTATCCAGGGCCAAGTCAGAATTTCTTTCACAATATCAACATTATTCATAAAAGATATTTTCTGTACAGGGTTCGATGGGAATGTCCCGGCACAGTGAGTGTCAATGCGTAGAGTAATAATCACATGGCCAGCAGATGTAGTTGGTTTTATTGAAATTTATTAAACATGGTGAAAACTGTAATGAAATACAAAATCACAACAGTTACAACTTCAAATACATGCTTCTTTTTTTCTGTATTTATTCATTTATTCAAATATAATTGATAGAGGTGATCCAATGACTGAAATGCTTGTATAACAATAAAATACAGATTTAGTTATGACATTGATCTACAAAACCAATACAATTTTTCAAGTATGAGGAACACTAATTTTTTTTTTCTATAGAGGAAACTACAAACTACAACAATAACAATATAAAATGCATAACAGGACACAAACAAATCATCATTTATAATCTAAATTATCACCATCATCATAATTATTATTAATACTCCATTTATCTTGAATATCATTATGTATAAATTGTATGAATGACAAGAACAGCATTATTTTCTCAAATTTTATGGTAAAGTTACCAATTATAACCCAGAGATATATATTAACTACATCTAAGCTCCTCAAATATATAATTTATGGACTGATTAATAATTTATATACTGTATAATACAAATACTGTTTTGTACATCAAAATAATCATTAGTTTATTATTTGCCTAAATAATATTAATATATTGTATTTTATTTTAGTAAATATATTTCAAGAAAGAATTTTTACTTATAAGTATTAAGTATTACATATTAGTATGTATCATCAATAACAACTAAACAGCATGTATACTACTATCTGACTCCGCTGTTTGCATGAAATTTATTGAATGATTAATTAAAAATATTGTACATGAAAATAATTAGTCTATCAGTTGCTAATTGATATTGATATACTGTAATATATTTTGGTAATAACTTGTTCAAGATTATGATTTATGATAAGCCAATTTCAAGAGTACCGTATGTTACTTATAAAGATTGTGTATGTTACACTGTATGTGAGAGACTTTATAACTTAGCCAACATAAATATTAATAAGTAGGCCATTACATAAGGTAATGAGGTACTTACAAACACTGAGTGAGATATGAGCTGTTCTTTCTCTACATGTTCAATAACAGTGATAACTGCTTTGTTGTACCCCTCTGCGTTCGAAGCTACGCATTCATATCGACCGAGCAAAGCAGTTGTGATATTTCTCAGGTGTAACCAGGTAACGCCAGTGTATGGATTGTAATCACCTATTAAAGATTTTCCCATGGGCCCGACCCAATTAACCACAGGATATGGCTGGCCTAGAATATTACACCGTAGAATAACATTGCTTTCTATCTTTGCGGAGATGTTGGATGATTTAGTTTCTACAGATGGTGCAAAACATCTTGCCAGCACAGATTTCGAGCAGTCAGGTAGATTACCCCAAAAAGTTGTAAAATGGTTTGAAAGATTTGACATCGCACAGTCACAAATAAATGGATTTAATCTCATGTTGATATGATTGAGATTTGTCAAGTAGCTATCAAGAACGACGGTAGGAAACGTAACCAACATATTTGAGTGTAAATCGATGTGCTTCAGGTTATGAAGTGGGATTGTAGGTGAAGTTGGGAAAACCAAAGAAGTTAGATTATTATTGTTCAATGTCAGTGCTTTAAGAGTACTATTCTCTTGATACAAGTCACTAAATGAAAATGTAACCAAATTATTGTTATTTAATTGTAGTATTTGTAATTTGTATTGCCTTCGAAATGATCCTGCCTCAATTTGTTGTAATTTATTTGCAGACAGGTTAAGCTCGGTGATTGATATTAATCCAGTGAATATTTTTTGACTGATTATTTTTAGGTTGTTTAAACGTAAATCCATTTTCTTTAGGTTAGACATCTGTTCAAAGGAATCCGTTTCTATCATAGTAATTGAGTTAGAAGTCAAGATAAGCTCCTGTAACGAACTCAGTTCCCTCATCCAATCAGATTTAATCTTAGTAAGCTTGTTGAATGAAAGATCAAGTTTTGTCAAATTGTAGAACTGAACAAATGCGCCTTTTTGTACATCAGACAAGATGCCCCGGCTTAGGGTCAATTCACGTAAAGATGCGGTAAGGCCGGTGAATGTTTTACTAGAAACACTGCTGAAATTGGGTTTTAATGAAAATATTTGCAACTGGTCTAAACCTTTAAAGGCATCTTCTTTTATTGATCCTTTCACGTTTAGCTCAAGCTTTTTCAACTCGTTTTGGTTCTTGAATGCATTCTCCTCGATAATCACAGCATCCTCTTCCTGCAGAATACTGATCGACTGAAGGTTACTATAGTTAGCAAATGCTTCTGATGGTATCGTTGAAAGTGTTGAGGACATTAAACGCATTTCTGTAAGGCCGATACATGGGTTTATAGTAGGGATACAGTTAACTTTCTTGCAGACGCATGGGTCTTGTTCAGTTGTACACTCGAAGCCTTTGTTTGTGCATAGCTGTGCTGTTGTCATTACAACTACCATCCCAAGCAAGTGAACTAAAATCTTGGTAATCCTAATATTCATTTTGCTTAATTCTGGAAAATAAAATACCACAGTTTAATATTTCACTGTGCAATTCCCTTGTGTCCTTTAGGCAAGGCACTTTACCTACGGTTTTCTTTCTGGTAGCCTCAAACACAAAATGCGCTGATTACACCTGCAACATTATGGAATTCTCCCCAAGGAGCTGAGTATGTGTTCCATATGTGTTTAATCCAATGGCCCAAGGTAGTGATATTCTTGTTACTTCAAGTTTAAGGGGAAGCTGACCCTTTTGAGTCAGTAATTTATTTGCTTTAGCTGTCCCTGACCTTCATTTTGTGTTCTTGTTATTTTTGTGCTTTTTATTGTTTATGTGTTTATGGTCGAATAAATAAATGAATGAAATGAATGATGAATGGCTAGTATTGTTAGAAAGCTCTAATTATCTCTCTGTGGCAGCGTGTATCTCAACCAAGGCCCAGACACCATTTTACACAGCATTATAATTTAATAGACAGCATTCTAGAAAAAAAAAAATTAAGAAAACTATGCTGTGGGAAAAAATGGTTGGACCTCAGTTCAAAACAAAAACCTCTCATACAAAATTGAGATAAGCAAAAAAAAAAAAAGACAACCATATATGTATGTATAAGTGAAGTAAACTTTATTACTATAAATCTATTTTGATTCTCTTTTTTTTGGAAATTAAACTGTGAATGTAAATTGATCCAAAATTGTATTGCAAAACCAGAAAATTTATCAAATTAGCTATTAAACAGTATCTGCATGTATAGCAGTCCATTAACACAATGAGTTTAACACTCGTTGTCAAGTGAAGTATATAATTGCCGATACTCAAGGATAGATCGACAGCGTTCCACGCAAGTGTTCCACTCAATTTCATTCAATTTGCTGCAACGATATCGTAATTGCATTGGAATTAAATATGCAATATAATGTAATCCTCTTTTTAATGTTTTATACTTTTTAATAATGTTTAATAAATGTTTACATAAAATAATGAACTACATTATGCTATATCATTTTAATAATTAAATTATAATATATATTTATAGTTATTATATAATTATATTCTTATAATTAATTATTAACTATAGTATTTAAATAATAATTGAAACAAGAGAATACACATTTTTATAAACTGTCATTTTGACACTGTTGAACTGAGCAAAGTGATCATTTGTGGAGATACCAAGAGAGAATCTAGGTATATTGAGCAGTTGTTTTGTCTTGAAATGAAATTTTAGTACACATAAGATATTGATTGATTGATTGGTTGATCAGTATTAATACTATTGATCATAATAATAATATGTTGGTGGGATATAGTGAATAGTTATATGTTAGACTTATATAGCGTTTCGTCATGCCAACAATGTCTCTAAGTGCGTCACACTCTTACCCCGGTCATTGGATCAATCACATATGGAAAACGTATTTAGGGCCTTTCGGAGAATTCCATAATGTTGCAAGCTGTAATCAGCGCATTTTGTGTTTGAGCCTACCAGGTACCAACTCCTGAGTTAAGACATACATGTAGATAAAGTGGCTTGTCGAAGGACACACGCAAACTGCAATGCAGGAAGGGATTGTGCCTTGAAGGTTGAGGAGCAGAATCTCAAACGCTGTGCCAAAGGGCTCTTACGAATGCCACTTCTTTCACATTTTTCTTTTACTCCATTCATTAGAGCAAATAAAAAACATAGACCTACCTAGAAACAATCATTTCAGCACATTGAGACTTTGTTTATGCATTATAGCAATTTTATACGGTACTTTGTATTAAATAGCACATAGTGTTATAGCCATTTTTCATTGTTACCTCTGTCATTGCAACAAATACATTTTTTAACGAAACGAAAACATTTTTTACTTTGTAAAATCAAATGATAATTTCACACATTCAATTATACCCATTTAATTTTACTAATAAAACTATATATAAATAATCAAGTATTGATATTTTATACTTGTTATGTTATATACATTATAAATTATTACTATTTTTATTTAACTGAAGAGCTTTTTTTTTTTAAATTGCAATATAACTTGTAAAATGATACTAAAAAAATTACCTTACCTGTAATATAATATGCTTCTCAAAGATGTCAGACTAGACGTGGAATGCCAGTCAAACTAAAATGCAACTTTTAAGAAATCGTACATTACTGCATATATACACACGAAAAAGCACTGAGAAATGTTGTGTCCCTTAAGTACGGTAGTTTTACTATAGCAGGAGACCATTAGCAGGCTGTCAAAAGTAGGATGTATTTAGAAGTACAGCATTTGGTAATGCTTAGTGGAGGCAAACGGACCGACAGATTGCTGTTTTAATGGCCAACCGAGCAAAGTAAAGCCAATCAAAAAAGCTGATTCAAAATCCAAAACATCCTTCAAAATATTTCTTGTATCGAGGCAATTTTAATTAATGTATCCATGGTGACCGAGGTTTAGTTACAAGCACTAGTTATATTGATTTCGTGTATGATATTGATCGTTATCAAAATGCTTATTAATTGAGACAGATTTTTGTGTTTTGAAGGATTGGAAATGCTATTACCATAAATTTTACATGAAAATTGGAAAATATAATCATAAACAGGTAAATGCAAGAATCATGAGAAAAGTATTAGATTGGCTCCAGCATATCGAAAGCTTGTAGTGTATATGTCAACTTTTGTATTATGTAATTAATATGTTATGGTATAAAATTGCAATACAAGACAAGCTAAAAAATGTGCTTGTATTACAATTTTTTAATTATACATACATACATTAATAAAATACATACACAAAAATTAATTTAAGCAGTCTAAAACAACCTATTCATAATTGAGGAATTGCCATCCCAGAATGTGGCAATATTGTATACTTTAGTAGAGAGACATGCCAATTTGTTTGGCTTGTTTCGTCCACATAACAAAACATTTTGAATACTGTGCGCGTGTAAGAAAGACATAAAAGAACAGATTGAGCGTGCTGCACAGCGCAGTGTTTGGGCAGTTACATTATCCGAAAAGTTTCACTTTTTTAAACGATTAATCATAGTGAAACACTATTTAAAATGCATTCCAAATTTATGCATAACACTGTAGAAATAAGATGGGTCCACTATCAAACATATTCATTTAATGAATTTAAACAAGTCTTTGAAACAGAAGCAGTTACCATTATTTTTTTCAGTTCAGGAAATGGAATACGCCAATTACATGGGCCGGCTGTGAGCCCGGGCACTTTTTGTTCTTGAATGCCTTTGAAAGAAAAGAAAAATTTTTATCCAATTAGATTAATTTTCATATAAAACTGATCACAAGAAAATTTGCTTTATGTTGCCACTTTAACTTTAAAGCGATCGAATTTGTGTAGGGAAAGCTATGCCGACATAAATAAACGACTCCTCATAAGCCAAGTTAGCGAGACGGCGGCCAAAAAATGGCATAAAACAAATGTACTTTCCTGATGATGAGATGGCATCGCCACCGCAACTGTGTACATGCAGGTGCTCCGACAGTATGCTGGGCTCCAAAAGCTTTCCCCTTGGATAAGCTTCGGTTCTACTACCGTGCGCTGCTAAGGTGGCGATGCCGGATCAAGTAAGGGAGTTGCAATTTACAGGTGAACAATTTTTTAAGAAGAATGTATGCTTAATTTCCAGCCCAGTACGGTACCTTGAGTAGCTCCTAGCCTTGTTTGTGTGATTTATCGTTTAAAAAAAAATTAATATGGAAGAGTGTTTTCTTTACAGATTGCTAGTGACTTCACTGAAGACCTTCATTCCATTGCAAATCTCATCAGTAGAATCGTATGTCCATTCATATTATTTTTATGTAACAACTGTTTATACTCCTAAATGTCTAAAAGCTAAATAAAAATATTTATTTTTTTGCATTGTTTTTTCCTCTTTCAGTTGTCCCTTTGACTGTTCTTCACTCACTATTAGCTTGTAGCATTGTGGCTTTTAAAATATAAAATTCTGTTTTTTATAAACTATTGCAAAATATCTAAGTATGTTATTGTTGTTCAATATGTTTGTGTTCACTTTTGCAACTTCGAAAAAGAAATTCATACTACATTTTTTTGTGTTATGACAATTATATAATTTGAATCTGAATTATGAGAATTAAATTAATGATTTGTTATTATTATTGAGTGAAAAATTATGCAATATTGAGGATTTGAAAGTTTTAAATGCAAGCATTTTAACCACCAGGCCACAGTGCCAATGAGTTGTGAATTTTAATATTGGAGTTTTTTTTTTTTTTAATTAAATGCATTCACTCTCTAATCCCTGTAATGGTATATCAGACTACAGAGCATTTTTAATGTAATAACTATAATTGGTATGTTTCTTACCTTATAAGCGGTTACACATAAACATAAGGGCTAGTAGTTAACAGCAACAGTTAACACTGTTGGACCTTTGTTTTTTAAGGTTTACACCCTGTACATGTACAAACATACTTTTTTGAAATTCACATATCACAATGGTGTTTTTAATAAATTTGCGGAAAAATATTATCTTGTCACTGCCAATAGGACAGGACTTTTTATTGCCTCTACCTTTTATTGCCTCTCGTCTTCTTTTTTGTTTGATATTTGTTCAGAGGGCGCTCTCACATGTGCAGTCTTTTGTATTGCCGGCATAACACAAACATACTTACGTTATTTGCACGTCATCATCAAGGTTTATTTCCCGAGCTCAGGGTTTTGATGGGTATATGTCCACCTGGTGCAACAAATATCCTCATCACTATAGCTTTGAAGATGTTAAACTGTTAGATAATAAACTATCTACTCAATTTAATCAACTGTTTGTGTTCTTATAAGGTTGACTTTGATGAATCAGTTGCACAAAATCGGTTTACTGTGAAAGAAGATGTCGATCCAGAACTAGATCACAGTAAGTCATTCCCCTCCAGGATATTCAATGGAAATGGGGTCACAAGATACACAATGGGAATGGGCTTGACCTATGTATGAGGGTCAGGGTCACAGGATACGAAATAGGTGTGTAGAAGAGGATGAGAAAAAGAATTGCTTGAATCAGATAGTATGTGTGTGCTATGTACCATAAGTATTCAAATGCTATTGCTAGTATTCAAAGAGTAGCATTCAAATACTAAATGAGTGCTTTCCGAATGCATTCTATTTTGGTAAGGGGATGCTTCTCAGGGATATATACCAAAGGGGTGGGGGTATTACCTGCCCCTAGAAACAGGTGGTAGGGAAAACATACAAAAGAAAAACATGCCTATCTCTTTATCATTATTAAAATTGTTTGCCATTGTTATTGTTTTTATTTTTGTTTTATTGTTTTTGTGATTTTTGTCATCACAGTACCAAAACAAAAAGTTAATGCACAGTCACCTTGGTGTTAATTTTATAAATATTGTTTATATTTTTATTGTTGTTGCAAAAGCTATTGGTTTTTTTTTCTTTTTCAAGGCCATAGACCATCTATTACAAATCAACTATATTATTCACATATAACGTTCATTTACTATTCACATATCATTATATCATTCATTAGGGGTTGTTCAACATTATCAACATTTTCACACATGTACAACAGTACGCTAGGGGGGAAGGGGTAAACAAATTTATACACTTTTATATGCATAAAAATGTTGATTCAAAATAAAATGTAAAATATGTAAAATAATGGTAAAATTATAATATAACCATGGAAATAATATTCATTTTTAAACATCCAAGTAGTATACATTGCTTTAGTTGACTTCACAAAAAAATGGAGAATTGGATTGGAAAATGGATTTTGCAAAATCAACAGTTTTCGGGGTACTGAAAACAAGTACTGTTTGTACACTTATGAAATGTTGTTGTACACTTGTGAAACATATTGTTTTACATTCTTTCATTGAATTTCTTTAACTCTAATTCTTCTATGAAGGTTGATTTATATTATTATTATATTTATTATCAATATTATTGTTGTTATTATTGAATGATATTTCTTTTGTTTTATTACCAGAGAAGAGAACCTTCAATAGCCTGCCAAGCCTTATGACACAGGTTGCACGTGAAGAGTTGAACAGCTTGAGTTCAGACATTGAGGAATGCAACGTTATATATCTACCACAGGTAGGAATATTCAGTGGAAATATAAGTAAGCATGTTTGTACAGATGGATGGGAAGAACTGTGTGATCATTGTGTGTAAAGCCTTTTCTCGTTTTAATATTGTTATAATGGCAACACGGCCTTGTTGAAAAACAATTAAAATAAAAATGTTATTATTATTATTATTATTATTATTATTATTATTATTAATTATTATTATTATTAATTTATTATTATTAATTTATTATTATTATTATTAATTTATTATTATTATTATTAATTATTATTATTATTTATTATTATTATTATTGTTATTGTTATTATTATTATTATTATTATTATTATTATTATAGTCTTGTCCAGACTATCAAATTTTATTTGAAAAAAACATGTGACATGCCTAAATGACATCACATCATGACCCTATATAGGCATGTCATGACTATATATGGGCATAAAGACAGAGCTTTAGGGAGTGTGTGTGTCCATATCTCCTCCCATATATCTTGGTGACCAACTACTGTAAGTTAAAATAATTTTGGGACATGACAGATATTAAACTGTTGATTTAGAGTGAAAAAATGATTTGATTTCTAGGGAATTTTTGAGCTCCCATATCTTTAATTACAAAGTTCAAGTTTGTCAGCTGAGCAGCCCACTCCTCCACCCCCATGGGGGGTGCCTTTCCTTTGTCCCACTGGTGACACCACTGCAAGTAGTATATTTTTAACATACTGAGTTAATGGTATTTAACTGTTAGTCATTGTGTCTGGCTTATAATTGTTAAAATAATATTTTTTTTTCAGCTTGGTTACCTGTTGACAATCCCACGTAAACCTGAAATGGTGAATTTGGCTGATTTTGAAATGCAAGGTTTCCAGTTCATGGTCAGTATTTTCCCACAAATTATTATTATTATATAAATATTCAAAAATCTGTATCTCATCAACAATTTTTTGTCAAATACCCTTTTTGGAAAAACCAGTTGTATATGTAAAAAATATGTTTCCCTCCAGAGCCTAGTATTTGAAAATGGTATGGGAAATAGTGACCACCTTCCTTCTCCTGGACAAAACATTAACATTATACAAAAAAATTAAAGTAAATTATTTACTTATGAATATATAACCAACGCTTTTTAACTAAAATTAAATGGGGAGCGTGATAGTTCTAGATATAACATAACCATACATTGGTCTCAATCATTATATTCCCTTGTGATTTGTCATGTAAAGAGTCCAAAAATCAAACTAATGCTTTTATACAACAACTGTTTGTTTCTTTTAACTGCATCCGTTACTATTGGCCAGAGTGTTTGCAATTAAATAGCCCAGTGATCTCTCGTGAGACACTACATCATTTAACAGTTTAATTTCAGTGTTGGTAAGTTGTGTTCATGTGTATAGTTATGCATATTTAATGTTTTGTTTATTGATGTCGTATCATGTCTGGACACAGTCCAAGGTCAGGTGTTGTCACTGATCAATTGCAAGTTTTGTAATATTGGTGATTTATTTGAAAAGGTAAATTAAATGTAGCTCAAAATAGATCTTTGAATCCCTTCATTTTATGGCCTTAGGTTAAATAACACATACTCTATTAGTTATATGAAAGGACAGTATTTTTAATAACTTTAGTTCAATCTGCATATGATATTTTAATTACATTATTTTGTTACATTTTGTGATAGGGGGCTTTGTACCACACACCCCCTGTTTGATATGCTGTTGTGATAATGATGATGGGGATGATGATGATGGTGTAGTGGTAGTAATACTGGGGGTGAGTGATGGTGAAAATAATGATGCTGCTCATGTATAGAGGCCTATCCAGGCTATAAAATTATATTTAAAATACCTAAATATGGTCATGATGACATCACATTATGACCTTAAATAGGCACTTCATGACTATATATGGGCGCAGTTTTTTGTCAAAGAAAGCTTGATAATTGGAAAGGGCAATACACAGAATTATTAACTATTTAATTTTATTGTTTGATGTGAAATTGTCATCCATAATGGTTATCAAATAATGTTTATTTATTTATTTATTTTTTTTTAGTTCATGTCAAATGACAGAGTCCACTACAAGAGTGCAGGAACTAATGGTATGTTATATTTTTAGTATAAACCTTACAACATCCAGGTTGGTGGGGGACAAAAGCAGATGTTGCCTTACCTAAGGATACAAGGAAGGGCAGTATATAGGATTCAAACTTACAGTCCTTTTAACTAAATAAACAAATAATGTTAAAGCCCCATTCCCGGCAAAATTTCACTAAAAACTGACTTTTTTTAGAAAATATTCATTTGCATTACTCCAATTATTACAAATCATGGAAAAATATTGGCATGAATTTTAGTTTACGCAAAAGAATAAAAAAAATGAGAAATACAGACTATTTCTCATAAAATATTACCTTTTTCTGGACGAATTCATCGTTACTAGGCAAATTCCGAGGTTGTAGATCGCATCCACTGGAATACTCTCGCTTTTATGTATACTTTTAATCTCTCTAATGAGATTAGTTTTTGTACTTCGTATCTCGCACAATGTGGTCGTTCGATTAGGCTGAGATATGTTTGTTTAAGTGTCAAAATCTCAGTCAGAATCAGTTTTTTAACAAATTTGAAATAATTCCTATGAAATATTATATTTCAATACTAGCAACGGAAAATATCATGTCGGCCGTTTTTATATGTGATAACAGAATCTAAATCGAGGTAAGGCTAGGCCTAGCCTAGCAGCGCTGGATAGGCTAATGTTTTCGGCGCCTACGATATTTCTTCTCACAACCTATCGCAAAATCAAAATGAAAAATTCATCCGCATTTATTTTTTGTGTGGAACACAAAAAATCAAATTTCAGTCTTATTTTACATTTTTTTCATTCTTAGGAATGTCTAAATTCAGTTAAACTAGCAATTCCGTATTATATTTATAAATCTTTATTATACAAAAATTAGATTTTTCTTAAAAACTGAAATTTTGCCCGGAATGGGGCTTTAAGAGGTGAAGCCTCCAAGATTGCATCAACTGCATATATATAATATGGTAATATTTTACTCATGATCTTTTGATTAAAAGCCAAAAGCCTACTGCTGTACCACAATGGCTCTAGCACAGAATTTGCAAAATTAATTTTAATTTTTTTTATTTTCAGCTTTGGATGAAAAACTAGGGGATACCCAGTGTGTCATTACAGGTAGGACAAGAGATTATTTTCACTCTATATATTAGATTTATAAAACTCATTTTAGTGGAAATTGCCTATGTGATATCCTCCCATTGAAACAATAAGTTACATAGTTGTGGTAATCTGACCTAGTACCATATAATTTCTTGTTGTGGAAGTTGAAAAGCTTGGCATTCTGCTTGCCTTCTGGGTTCAATTCCTGTCACAACAGGACTTTTTCTCTTGACTTAAAACAACTCTACTCCCTAATAAGCCTCATAAATAGACTTGGTTTAAAAAGCATCATAGGTGGTGAGTGTACATGTGTTGGGTGTAAAGGAAATTTAACAAAATAAAAAAAATAGCACTACACTAATTGCTTTACAAATCAATATATGGCCAATTGTCAAAATAACACATATATTTTGTTGAATATATCAAATTGTGCTGATAACACACCTCACATATGATAAACACATATCACAGATTTTTGTCATATAATTACCTCAATAGTATCAAGGACTTTTAACTGTTACCAGGATAGGAAGCTGGCTGGTTTAAGCCGTCTAACTTGAATTAGACTTATGTGTGGTATTGTTATGCTAATGAGCCAGATAAGCACAATCTGCGCGTGCTCAGAAAAACAAAACTTTCCTTAGCCACACTGCACATCGGCTAGGTGTGCAGCAACTAGGCCTAGCTTATCTTATTTTTGTTTGTTACGCACCACTGACTTAGGCTGTTTGTCATCACTTCAAGATGTCTACCGATTCGTGGAAAATGCGTATTAAAATCCAAATATTGGTGTTTGTGAGCAATACATTTTAATTTTATATAGGTAAGTAGTAAGTATATGAATAATTTTAGTTAGTTAGTTAGTTGATAACTTCTTCATTCTAATTTGTTTTGGGTCTTTTTTCTGCATTTTTATAAGCGGTTAGACATGCCTAGGTCGGGTCTAGGCTAGCCTAACCACATCAATTTAAAATCAGATTTGTAGACATACTTGCCTTATATCTTAACTTGCAGGTGATTTTATTGGTAGACTAGTTTGTTTTGTGTGTAAGTATGATTGATTTGCATGCCAAGTGAAATTAGCACCCTTATTTTGCTTTGTTTTATCGTACCGTAATTCTGGGCTAGGCCTAGCTGTACGCCTACCCTATACGCAGTGTGGCCATTGTGTGGCTAAGGAAAGTTTTGTTTTTCTGAGCATGCGCAGATTGTGCTTATCCAGCTCATTTGCATAACAATACCGCACATAAGGCTAATTCAAGTTAGACGGCTTAAACCAACCAGCTTCCTATCCTGGTAACAGTTAAATGTCCTTGATAGTATGAACAGAGCTTTACAAACTTTTACTAAATCACAAGCTTCCGTTCACACTGAGAACGCCTCCACTTAATCGCTTCAAACATTACACAAATGATTGAAAGATTTTAGACCAATTTTATTCTGGGGTTTTTTGCTTAACTGATCAACTATTCATCCTTGGTGAATGTGATATGTAAATTGCTGCTTTTCAAAATCATTGATTTTTAGAAAAATATTGCACAATATTGTAATAAATTCTACAGTGGATTGTGAATTAGTGGAATTTGATTAGACTGGTACATCTTGTTGATTACCTTGTTTTGTACAAGCTAGTAATCTCATTAGGGTTTTCTTCGGAAATGATTTTTTCATAAAATGCAATTAATTAATAAATTAATAATGAATTTTATAAATTATGTATTATTCATTGAGAGCAACAAGCACTAATTTGTAAAAAAAAAAACAAAAAAAAAAAAACCCAAGGAGAATGCCTGTTTATTTTCCTTGAGTTGTCCTAGCAGCTGTATGCCAGGGCTCAAGTCTCTTTCGGTAGTAACCAAAAATCTTCCAGAAACGATTAATTTTGATTTTTTTTTTTTTAAATATTGCACAATATTGTAATAAATTCCACAATGGATTGTCAATTAGTGGAATTTTATGAGACTGGTGTATTTTGTTGATTACATTGTTTGTACAAGCTGGTAATCTCATTAGGGTTTTCTTTGAAAATGATTTTCTCAAGGTGTTACATAATAATAATAATAATATGCAATTAAATAGTAAATTAATAATTAATTTATAAATTATGTATTATGCATTGAGAGCAACAAACACTAATTGGTTAAAAAATTAAAACCAAGGAGAATGTTGTCCAAGCAACTGCGTGCCAGTGGGCTCAAGTGTCTTGTGATTCCTGTAATCTCTGTAGTAAGCAAAAATCGAGAAATTAACCAATCTTCTGCTGAAATATACATTTAGATGTGTTAATAAAATTCATTAAACCAAACCTCCCAGAAACAGCTTCTTCCAATTGGGACCCCAGGAACGTTGTCATTCAGTAAAAGCATTATGTAGAGTACAGAGTGAAATGAAAAATACGTGTAGACACCTTTTTTTTTCTTTTTTAACTGAATAGCTTGCAATTTTATACATATACAAAGAAGCAGGATTTTTGGTAAATAAAAATACCCTACCACTTTGAAAAAGGTACATACAAAATCTTCCACAATTTAGTTATCGTTGTCTAGGCAGACACAATGACAGAATGGTAATATATTTATATAGCGCCTTCGACAGAAAACCGTCTCAAGGTGCTTATGAAGCCACAAGAAACAAAGACAAAAGAACGCAAAGGGGGGGGGGGTGCGCACCCCCGATTTTGAGATAGTGTCGCCATCACTACCATGTACACACAGGTCCCTCAGTGTCAGTTTGCTGGGCTCTGGTAGCTTCCACCAAGGATAAGCCTATGGCTCCCCTACCATGCGCGGCGTAAGTAAGGAGGTGCGGCTTTTCAGTGGAAAAAGACTTAACTACAGAACAGCTTAACTACAGAAATTTAACAACAGAGATTAACAAATAAATGAGAACTATTAACCATGAGAAAGTTAACAAAGATTAAAGAGATAAGCCTTCAAATTCTTTTTAAATACAAGGAGTGAAGGTGGACAGATAGATAGATTTATACACATGAGTTTTAAGTTTGGTGTAGTGTCATATTTTAATTGATGGTAGTAAATATCGTTTGTTTCCTAGATCACGAAACCCAGATTATGCATAGATTGCAGAATAGCATTTTAGAGAGGAGTGCAGTCCTCCTGAAAGTCATGGACTTTGCAGCAGAAATTGATTGGTAAATATATAATATTAATCATATTATTTATATAGTATTTATTTTATGTGCAAGTCCCTCAACTTTTTTTTCATGGCACATATTGGTAGCTTTGTACCAGCAGAAGGGGCTCATATTACCCTGTTGGATGGAATTTACAGCAGAGTACAAACCAAGGAGTCGGTCTCTGTAGGCCTGTCAACCTTCATGATAGATCTAAACCAGGTAAGCTTATCTGAAAACAACAAAGACAACAACGAAATAACACAACAGTAACAACTCACATACATGTAAATACAAAACAACAAGACTATGATCCCAACCAGGTTAGAAAAATTAGGCCTATGTAATTCTATTGGAGGTGAACATTAATAGAATAAGTTGAGAATGATGTTGCTTTCATTTGATTTGTTTACATTCATTTGAGGAGATGGTGTGTTTATTCAAGGGAAAAAGTAAATGCCTCAGGGGGTTCATTTGAGAGAGGAGTTTATTCCAAATAAGGCGTTAGAGGGAACGTTTATTCGAGGGAGGCATTTGTTTAAAGCGGGGCATTTATTTGAATAAATACGGCACATATATTAATATCTATTGCTGCTTTTTAAAAATTCATGCAGAAGCAAAAATACCTAATATTTACTAATGACAGTACTATTTTAAATTCATGGATAGATGTCACAGTGCGTACGTAATGCAACAGCAAAGTCCTTGGTGATTGTGGATGAGTTTGGCAAAGGCACAGAGACTGGAGATGGTGTTTCATTGCTGTGTGCCTGCCTCAGGCACTGGCTTGATCAGGAGCAACACTGCCCTCATGTGTTGGTATCGACACATTTTCACTGCATCTTCCAACAACATCTCTTACCAGACTCCCAACAACTCATGTACCAGGTAAGTACATTACTCGCTTATCATGAACAGCATCATCATCATAATCAAAATTATCATTATCATAAGGCCAAAAAAGAATTATTGTGTTGTGTTGGCCACGCCCAACCAACCCAAATTTTACGAAATTAAGGGTCATAATTTTAGTTTTTGTTTTTTATGAGCAAATAAGGCTGGATATTATGCGTTGTGAATTAAAAATTGTTGTATTATTTCAACCTTTTAGGCGTAAAGACATAATTTGATTGTCTTAACAACAATTGACATTATCATTATCATCTGTTTGGAGAACAGTACGTCAGTTGTATTGAAAGAGCATTCCAGAATTTGAATTGTATGTCATCATCTCATTACCAACATCATCACCATCATCATCACTATCATCTCCATCATTATCAGCATTTTCATCAACATCATTATTATCATCATATTGTCTTCCTCATTGTCACCATCATCAACAACAACATAATTCTTATGACACCTTAAGCATTGCCTATTCAATAATATTTTAATAATCAACATTTTATTTATTATTACTGAATAAATCTAATCCAATGTTATTGACATGTGTACATTTTGTTTGTTTGATTTTATTGATTAGATGATGGATGTAATTCAGAATGAAGAGGAGATGATCTTTTTGTTCCAGTTGAAGGAAGGGTGTGTAGGGCACAGCCATGCCAATCAGATTGCCAAGTCAGCTGGTCTTCCACAAGAACTCATCCAAAGAGGACTGCAGGTAAATTAAATCATACAAAAAAGAAACTTTAAATAAAATATACATATTTTGATGTTGACAATTCTTAATTGTAACCCACTGTTTTTTTTTGTTGCAAATTTGGTCACTAACTGGCAATATTTGCAGGAAGTTCTAATGAGAATTTGTATTTGCCATTTTGATTGATTGAGTTTTTTATGTTACTTAGCTTTGTGAAAATAGGTTTTAATGTACAACGCTTTGATGTCTTTTGTAAAGGCACTATATAAATGGTTCTTAATAATAATAATAATAATAATGAAATTAATAACCCAGTTAAAGTATCCATTTAGTTAAGTTTAAGAGGGTCTCCTGAAGCTTACCTTGTGTGATTTTAGACAGCTAAAATTTCAGGCCCCAAAAGAGATTTGATCGATGCGACCATGCCCACTTACGCTCTTGTCAGGGACATCTACCCCTGTTTGAGAGATTAGACCGATCCTTCGGCAGATTCTGTCCCCACATATAAAATAGTAGTTAATGTTAATACTGTAGTTGTTTTTTTATCCTGAATTTTAATTATTCAAATATAGTACAGTACTGTAAATGATTCATTAACATTTTCACAGTTAACACACTGTTTGTAATGCCATTGAAAATGACCTGGCTATGTATGTCTGGTTTAACTAATAATCCTGAAACTTGATTATACAGTATGTTTTTACTATTTGATATTGTATATTTTTGATGAGAGCCCAATAAATCAAATGAAATAAACTACTCTGTATTTATTAGGTGACAAATTTGATCGCTGAAAACAAACCGATTGAGCGAGCAGACACTGCCAACACCAAGAACCAATTTAAACGCTGCGAGATGATAGTCAAAGAGTTCCTGACATTGGATCTAGATAAGGACTCCTTAACAGACTTCCTACTAGACTTTGTTCTACCTACAGCTAACAATATTGTATAGTACCCTTTTTTCACTTCCTAAAGCAAATTAAGCAATACATACTACATTTTACCGTTTTTGGCGCATATTTATTTCATCAGTCACAGGGGTGGATCCAGTAGGTTGCACGAGGCATGTGCCCCCTTTTTTGCTGTTAAATTTTTAAAATTTCACTGCAAAAGAATGTTGTGCTCCTCACATATATATTTTTTTCCTCCCCCCTCCCCTTTGAAACATTCTGGATCCGCCCCCTCACATATTGAGATGGAAATACGAATGATTACAATTGATACTAGACAGTAACTAACAAGTAATAATCAAAATGGTGCACAACATAAATGCAGTAAAGCAGAACTGAAACGTATTCATGAATTTTGTCAAAAATTCTGATGTAAAAGTATGGTCACAAATCTGACCTCACTGCATAGTGCTATGTATGTTGAAATAAATTATACTTTGAATCTGAGTATACAGTGCATTTGTACCTTCACTGAATTCCATCAATATACTTTACTTTGTTCAATGTGCTTTAAATAAGTATTATAGAATTGTAGGTAATCTTGATTGAATCTTCTTATGGCCTTTGTAGCACAAATGTTAAAAAAGTTTTAATCCCTAACACTGTCATATAAAATGATTAAGGCAAAACAAAATATTAAAGTTATACAATGTTTTAATGTTAAAAATCTGCATCTGATTTGAGTGATTCAAACAACCAACACAATAAAGTATGATTTACTTCAAATAATAGGATACAAACAGCCAACGCAGTGAAGTATGATTAAGTTCAAATAATATGATACAAACAGCCAACACAATAAAGTATGATTTACTTCAAATAATAGGATACAAACAGCCAACACAGTGAAGTATGATTAAGTTCAAATAATATGATACAAACAGCTAACACAATAAAGTGTGATTTAGTTCAAATAATATGATACAAAAAGCCAACACAGTAACTTACGATTTAGTTCAAATAGTATGATACAAACAGCCAACACAATAAAGCATGATTTAGTTCTAATCAATTGAATCTGTTGTCAAATTATTTCATAGATGTCTTTGTCTGAAGCTCTGTTCAAACTATCAAATTTTCTTTGACAAACTTTCAATTATGAAAGTTGGGTATATAACCTGGGGAAGCAAGGTAGCCACCTAGTCATTTTGACTAGTGGCTAATAAGTAGTCTCCCTCTTAAAACAGACATCAAACGGACACAGACTGATACAAACATGGTCCTTAACTCGCCCAACTCTCTTGAGATAGTTTTTCGAGGAGCTGAGCGTTTTTTTTGTTGTTGTTGTTATACAACCCAGGCCCTGGTGTGCAAGAGGCAGGAACCATACCAATTAGCCAAACACTCAGCTCTTTATGTAATTATGTACATTTTCCAATAAAGTGAAACTATTAAGGAGAGTAGGGACTCTGCCACTCAACCATTTTTAAAATAAAGTACTGTATGATTATTTCTTCTTCCACCAATAAAGGACCAGCCAAGAGATGTATGCATTTAAACTAGATTTGAATGATTATCAGCTTTAAAAATCACACAAGCAGCCCAATTCTGCGGCAGCTTTGAAGCTGATCTTCAAAACCCTTCCTACAGTTTCCCTATACTAAGTCACAATCAAACCATACACATTGCTTATTTTCTGATGACATCAACAAACTCCAGCAATGTATTTTTGTTTATGATTATATGAATTTTAACCTTCCCTCAAATTGTTCCTGTAATTTTAAACCTAACTCTGAAATACATTCTTACAAAACTAAGGCTTCCCATGAACTTCATTTACCTCAACCCAAACTCACTCAAATGCAACACAATATCCGTTATAGCGGTTTCCAAATTATTTAACAATCTTCCTAACAGTATAACATTGTCCCCATCAAGTAAACTATTTTCATAAAAATTTTAAAAATACCTTTTTTCAAATTACAATTAATGTAATACATAAATTAGTCATGTTTTTTATGATTTACATCAATTACTTGTGCTTCCTCTTTTTGTTTATATGTCTATATTTATAGTTCTTCATAATTGTATATTTATATATTATTTACTATAAAATTTTATTTGGCTAGCCCATCACAAGTTTTAATTGGATTTTGTTTCCAGTTAATTTTACTTACAGGGCACATGTATTTTGAATATAAATTTGGTGCAATTCAGTTTATTCTGCAATGCCATTTTATTTTGAATAAACCAGATTTGAATTGAAAAAAAAATGCCTCTTTCCATTTAATTTATATTTACTAAAACATTGTATATACATAAAAACCTTAAATATTTGTTAATTATTTTTTAATCGTTATATAATGTGAATGAAATAAATTTTGATTTGATTTGAACAACGACTTGTAAAGTCATTTAATGGCTTAATCTACATAAAAGTGCAATTCAGCTGCGCTAACCTTTGTACCAAGTTTGTCTACGTTGCTATTCCAGGTAAGTGACCAATCAAACCAAACGCCTAAGTATTCAAAATTTTTAACAGCTTGAAAGGCAGCACCCCCAATTCTAATATCAAGAAAAATAAACTATTGAAATACTGGCTTTGAATCTTGTGGGATATAATATGTTTTAAATTAAACTTGTTATGTGAGGTGTCATGACACAATGAATCTAGATGATTTTGATATATTAAAAATAATATGTATGAAGTCATTTTTGACCAAAAGAACGTTTCATATTCTTAAGGATTTGCATGAGTGTAACAGGACGTGGGAAGTGTCACTCGAAATGTCTTGGAAGTGAAAAATATCCAGGAAACTGACAATATTGTGTATTTGTCCCTTCCGACAAGGTGCAACTCTCCCCATGATTTAAATTCATGTTTCAAAGTAGAATTTTGTATTAAATGGTATTTATTGTGAAATGCATTACCATTCGATTACTAATTATATCAAAAATATTGCTCTCACCTGATATTCCCATTATAAAGTATATAATCAGCTGTATAATATTAAGAATTAGTTGTTTGCTGCCCTCTATATCCACACTGATTACAGGAAATTAAAAGCATCAATAGAAGACTCAGTAGCATTGTTGTTGGTGGTTAACGTGACATTGCATAAGCTTCAAGATGTTGTTTTTTTGCTGCACATTACTTAGATACATATTATTCAAGAATAGTAAGTACACATTCATTACTAAATAAAAATATCCTTATTTACAGGCATAGGCAATTTATTAAACTTTTCTAAAAACTATAGTACAGTATACTTCAGTCTTAGTTACTAATGACAGTTTTGGTTGGTTTCATGTTTAGATACATGTCTCTAGTGCTTACTTAACCCTAGTAGTATTTTGGATTTGATTAAGGAGGTATCACTCCTTGATTAGATATTAAGTCCTGATGAATGAGGAAGCTTGGTTGATTATTCTTGGAATTTACTTCTGATACAAACACTATGCTATGAGCAAGCACCAAGAAATGTGAAATAAAATAGTGACTTCTTTCCATCTATTTAAGGGCTTGTGTAGACTAAATATCTACTTAATAACACTAATTCTAGCTACAAAACATACTACATCTCACCTAAACAGTTTATGGGTGTTGGCATTTTTGCATGTTGATTAAGTCACATGATTTAGCGGGAAAAACCAAATGCTTAAAAATAGATGAATACCATAAAGAAAGCAGAACCTAAATGCAATAAAGGGAAAACCAAATGCTTAAAAATAGATGAATACCAATGCTATGGGTCAGTAACTAACAGCAGAACCTAAATGCAGTAAACAGAACTGCAGTGTATGTTATTCATAAATTCTTGAATAATGCTTATCTCCCAGAAATAAAAGTACAGTACAAAACTAATAGTGTATATCCATTGAAACACAGATTATTCTAAATACAGACTATTTTAAACTGTAAATTCCTTAAAATTATTACTAGCCAATTTAACTGTAATAATTCATATACAGCATATTAATTTATGAGAAAAAAAAATGATAATTGTTTTACTTTATCTGTTATTTAATCACTTGTGATACTTTAAGTATTTGTGCGAAGATGGTATGCTCTTTAAAGCCAGGCTCCAGAGGGAAAAAAAAACCTGATTTTTCTAAGCCACAAAAATCATATCTGACAGAAAGCTTGGGAATGGTTAATGAGATACAGATTATTGAATAGGAAAAAGGGGTGCAATGATCCTACTTTCCATTTCCCATATTCAAAAATCAGTTGTATAAAGATGCCATCAAATATTTTCCTCCAGAGCCTGACATTAAAATCTCATTGCATAAATTTTTATTTGGATTTTAAATTTTGACTAGAAAAACATTACCAGTCATGCATTAAACTAAAGAGTGAGCTAAGATGTGATGCTACAACTCATCTAAGGCATCTAGAGGTCGGCTGCTGACACAGAGTTGGTGGTGGGGGGGGGGGGTTGTGCATTTGTTAATAAGCTGCTTCTCAGGTAAGTAATTCTTAACATGATCCAGATTCATGAATGAAAAGTAACAAAACCAATTAAGAAAAGAAAATGAAGATTAGAAGATATTTAATATTTTCAGAAATGATTAAAGTTGAATATCATATTCTTGATGAGGCTACTACAGAATACCAGTCAAGCCAAGGTGCCAAACCTATAATGTATTTTAAATACATTTCCCTCAACTATTGTTTGTTTTAGTAATCTTTAACAAGTAAGAATAAATGTTTTATTGAGTAGTACAATATTTATTTTACTGTGTATGCATGCTTCAAAGTTGCAATAATGTTAATTAAATTAATTTTTATTTTCATTTCTTTGAATCGGTTTTAGTGTCAAAGTTTATGAAGTACAACAGTTGGAGTACAGTATTTAGAATTGAAAGGTAGTGCATACAAGAAAGATGAAGGAATCGGGTAAAGTATTTATAATTGTCGGCATTATAGAAGTCTAACACTTCAGGCATCTAGCCATCAGAAAGTGTTCCACATTATTATTATTATTATCAGTAATTATCATACATAGCACTAGAAAATGGTGCAGGAAAATAAATATTGTATCACTACAGGAAACAAACAAAAACAAATTTTTCCAAATAGATAAAAGTATCAATAATATTAGCTTCTGGCTTTTTTCCTAGCCAAGCAATAGATATATAATACATAGCTAATGTGTAGTGTAAAATAATATATGTCTTAGCAATGTTGCACAGACTGGATGAAAATCTTTGGCAGGCTGGGGGTTGAATATTGGGGTTCTACAGTATAAAATACAGGTCTCCCTCTAATTAAAGACCCCTCAAATTGAGGACAACCTCTAATTGAAGACCAGTTTTCTGTGGCCCCGGATTAACAAAGGTCTTATCCTAATTAGAGACAAAATCTGCTAAAGACCATGGAAACCCCAGTCCCAAAAATTGGAGGGAGAATTTTAATACAGTATGTTCTATAAAATACAGTAATATACTTAAATGAGAGTTTACAGTATGAGAATTTTCGGCCTGCTGTACATTACCATTTGCATGCTATTATTTCCCAACAGATTTGCTGGAGATGCTGGTGCAACTTTCTGATGCTATCAGCAAGCAAGATGAAAAGTATGTCGACATGTTGAGGGTTCTGTACAGAGATCTTGCAAATGTTAAAACAGAATTAGAGGAAGCTAAATCTGCATTTGATTTATTCAAAAGACTGATAGCACCAGGAATTTTGAAGCCAACAGATATTTCAGTTTTGTTTGAAACAATTGAACTAACTGGATTGAAATATTTGAAAGATATAATTAAGAAGTATGAGAAATATCCTGATGAAGTAAAGATCACTCAATTTTCACCACATCGTCAACAGGTTGTTGCTCTGGGAAAGGACTTCTCACTTAAATATCTCCAGAAGGTTAGTCTATTATACGAAGGTAATTTTCCTAGTCCATGGAAACTGATTCAACACCTTGAAGATACATCTGTTTTAACCGAAAATAGCATGTCATCATTTCTTCAACGTTTGAATGAGAATAAAGTAAATGAAGGTTAGTAAAAAAATGAAGAATAACGCTTTATAAATGTAGGACATGATATTAAAATGCTCTACTTTTTGACATGAGATAGTAATACCCATAGTAATACCCGTTTCACACTAGCAGAAAATATTACAACTTTTAACAATTATTAACAATTTGTAACAAGTTTGATATTCCGAGATTTTTGGTTCGTTTCACACATGCACTTTCAAACCATGAGAAATCTTGGGAAAACTCGGAAGAATAATGACTAGGCCTAGGGTAGTACTAGTAGTAGGCCTAGGTTAGTTGTAGGTTGTCCAAATTACATATTAACTACTAAACTAGGCCTGGTACCGAATTAACAAGATTATAATTATTCCATGGTCCTTAGCCTTCGGAGAGTAAAACGAATTCAACTCCTAGCTCGCTTGCTGTAGATAGATAGGCCTAGGCTAGCCAGGCGCAGTCGGGCCGCCGGCCGGTAGCTCACCATTGTTGTTAGAGGCAATCAGTGTGACAAGGATCATAATGATTCGCTGTCGCCGTATTTTACGAAGCCTCGTGATTGTTTCTACATCAGACATGTGAAATTTAGCGAGATTTCTTTTGATTTTAGGTCTAAGCCTATTAACAAATGGTAGTAATGTTGATACGTTTTCCATCTCTGCCGCCATTCGTTCGAACTAAAAAAAAAAAAAAAACAGCCCGCGAAAAGGTCAAAATATGGACATGACGCATGCGCAACAACAACTCGGAAGATTTCGGGAAAAAAACAGGCCTCGCGATGGTTTGTTTTTGTTCCGAGATAACTCATGGGACCCCTGTGAAATCTCGGAAAGTTTTACAAGGATTTGCTTTCACACTCATCCAAACCTGGTTACAAATTGTTAATATTTGCGAAATAGCATCAGTGTGAAATGGGTATTAGTTTACATGTATAGGCCTCTCTCCAAATAAAGACCACCTCCAACTAAAGACCACTTTTCTGTATTCCCACATACCAAAACCAAAAAAAACTGTTAAAGACCATGGAAAACCCCACTCAAAAGTGGTCTTTTATTTGAGGGACACCTGTATTTTCAATTATTATATGATTGGTGAAAATTTGATCTATTTGTCATGAAGTGTACAGTAGAACATCTATTTTACTACATTCTGTTTACAAATAATTTTTTTACAAATGACCTACAAAACTGATGATGTCATCAACAAACGAATGTAGCATCAAAAAAGTTTCCTTAATTAAATGTGTGTCTTTTTGGTTAGGGAAATTCCCAGACTAGATGCGGATGAAAAAAAAAATGCGACTATACTTTGAGTAAGAATGTGGTACCATAAAGTGCTTGAACGCGCTTGTAGTTGTAGTTCTCTTTGTTTGAATGACCTGATTCCCATGCATGCCTTGTTATTTCTAGACTACCCTGAACAAGTTTGTGCTTGGTGCAGTACCACAACTGAACTGATTATGATATTGATCTCTTTCTTGCCTCATTTGAAGGATCTGGATCCCACACACGGCTTATAGCATCAATCCTCATTTCATTTAATATTTATTATAATGTAACTACTACTGTCTAGTAGTATCGACGGTCTGTGACCAATTGTCTGCCTTGTAGAGCAGCACACAAGCATCGACAACATACAAAGATACAAAAATAGAAATAGACTGTACAGTCTAGTTTACAAATTTTTCAATATATGAATATCCCTTGAAAATATCAGTATGGTGTAAAAGTTGTCCCGCTGACTTTTGACATATTGTACCCTCTAGAGATATCGAAGTTGCTTATTGACGGTTATGCCATTCCAGAATGCCAATTACTTTCATGGTATCAATATCTTTTTATTAAGTTTCTATCAACAATGATTTAGAATTGATCAATGTTATAAAAAGATATTGTGAAAGTAACAGTTTCTAGTCTCTGACTAGCTGAAATCAAAAGAGTTTTTAAGGGATTAAGTTAATAAATAATTTTAACGTTTTTTTTACTATATTTTCTTTATAGATTTTAATAAACTGCTTGTGAGAATATCTGAAGAAATCAGCATGAAGGGTGAAAAGTATGTAGACATGTTGAGAGTTCTGTACAATGATCTTACAGAGTTCAAAGCAGATTTGGAGGAAGCTAATGCTGCCTTTGATTTGTTCCAAATACTATGTGTAGCAGCCATTTTGAAACCAACTGATACTTCAATTTTGTTTGAAACAATTGAAGTAACTGGGTTAAGGTTTTTGAAAGATATAATTCAGATGTATGGCACATATCCAGATGAAGTGAAGATCACTCGATTTTCAGCACATCGTCAACATCTGGTTGCTCTTGGAAAAGATTTTACAACCCAAGATATTCAAAGGGTTGCTCAGATGTATGAAGTTCCAGATGGCTTTCGTTCAAATCCATGGAAACTAATTTCATTTCTTGAAAGGAAGGGTATTGTTTCAGAAGATAACTTATCATCATTTCTCAAGAAAAGTGTTGGTGAGTGTGATAATTATTTAATGATTTGATTTGTAATGCCAAATTACAAGTATTGTAACGTTCTAATCTATGTGATATTAAATTAGGTGTATGACTCTCAGAGCCCAAAAGGTAGAAAGCTACAGTAATGCTGGATATTTTTCGCTCATAACAATACTGTACAAATCCAACTGATCAAATCTTAGATTGAATACCAAAAATACATCACTGAATCATTATTGCGAGAAGGATATAGAACAATTAACTTGCATTCCATTTTCAATATGTACAGTATTTGTAACCTAGGTTTAGTCAATAAAATTGTAGCTATAAATAAATATCTTGGAAACAAATACACAAACATCAAAATATATATTAGTTAACTTGTCAATTAAAATAAATGTTTATTACTATAGTAAACATTGAATGATGTTAATTACAGTAGCATTCAGTAATTTCATGAAAACATGGAACTATAAAAAAATTACTATATTTTAAATTAAGACTTTACAACACACTTTTTGTTTCCGTTCTATTGTACTAGAACAGTTCAGAACTCTCTGTTAAATGGTGGAAAAATGTTCTGATTCTTTGGCCTCAAATAATCAATATGTAATTTGTATAAAATAACTGACACAACCAAACTGTCCGGAATAATTGGAAAATCAGTAAGATGATGCTAGATCACATACTTAGACAATGAAAATACACCAGCATTTTCTGCCATTTCATTTCCTGTAGGTAATTCAAAAACATATAAATTTCATGAGGGCGGACCACTGAGTAACTTATACTCAATTAGGTAAACTTAAGAAAATGACAACTCTGCCTTAATATACACGATATGATGTCGTGGGTATTTCTATTCTAAATTGTGTGTATTTCCTCCTGATAAACGCTGGTCTCATAGTGACAAGGCAGATTTTTCATTGCTCCATGTTTTTCAACTTTAAATTTATTATTTTTTTATATTGTCGTGAAGATTTCTGTAAGAAGATATGTTGCTGTCTAGAACTGTAGCTATTTAAAAGTATTGTAATGTTCATGAACCTAATCCAAGCTTCGATCCGGCAGTGGGTAATTGCAACGGTGTTATTCTGTTAACTTAAATTGGTTATTAAGAGATGACAGAACAAGAACAGAATAACAAACATCAAATTCTCTATCCAGAGAGCCAGACTCTTTTATGAATGATTATACTCGCAGTATGAAGTATCCAAGTCCAGATATCGCAAGTGCAGTAACTATTATCTTAACTAGTCTCCCATACAAGTACACACAATCCATCTCTCACCTTTTCTCATGAAAGGACCGTGAGGAGAGGGAGAAAAGGCCCAACACACCTTGGCAGCAGCAGTAGCGCTGGCAGCCAAGGGAGAAGGGAATGATTTATTCCCAGACTAGCACTTATATAGGGACTGATGGACCAATCACAAAGTATTTCAAGGCTGTCCCAATTAATTCACCTCTTGCCTAAAAAAAGCTGTTACAACAGAGGGGATAATTTCGTTACAGTATTTCCTGAGTTTACACATATATTTTTACATATATTTTTCAAGCGCCTTGAGATGGTTTCAATCATGGAAGGCGCTATATAAATACATAACCATTGCCATTATATTTTCGACTGTTTTACTGTATCAACTGCTCATTTTAACTACCATAGCTGTGTGTACTATATGCGATCAACTGTTTGGAGGTGTCCCAAGCAGCACGATGGGCCATCGACCTCGGCCTACCTGAATGTGTACCTTGTAGGGATGGTGAAACTTTAATAATGTAAATACTAACAAACACCTAGACAAAAAGACATCGTGGTGGAATACGAAATTGTATAAAAAGAAGACGACACCTTTTCCTTTCATCACACTCAGCAATGTCAGGACGAAATACAAGCTAGCTCGAGATTTCTGTCTGAATTCCGAGAATAGTGTACTCTTTGCCCGCTTTACCGAAACATGGCTGTCCCCGAAAGTTTCAGATGATTCAATAGCTATCGATGGCTTCAGTTTGTTTAGAAGAGACAGACCAAAAGAGTTGGCATTTGCATTTATGTGAACAATGGATGGTGTACTAATGTGAATGTAATTAAGCGAATAGGTGATGTAAATTCTGTAACCTCTATAAATAAACTTTTATACAGGTATGTGGCCTTAAGACCATTCTATCTTCTGAATGAATTTAATCAGCTTCATATGATTTTTCTCTATATTCCCGCTGATGCCAAAGTTGAGGAAGCATTAAAAACTATCAGCGACACAGTTCAAGAATTATTAGACTCCTCTCCCAACTCACCAAGCTTGGAGATGTCAACCATTGTGAACAATTTCTTAGTCTTGCCAACTTATAAATGTGTCGATAAACCTACCTGAGGCAGAAATATATTAGACCATGCTTTTGTTCAGTGAAGAACTCCTATAAATCTGTTATACATGCTCCAATCCGTAAATCTGATCATTATCCCATACACTTGCTTCCGACTTATCGGCTTAAAACTGAAAGATTTATAGCAAAGAAATTTTAGATCTTGGATGAAGAAAGTGTAAAAAATCTGTATTCATGCTTTGAAGAGACAGACTGGAATATGCTGTTGACAGATAAAAGCATAATGAATCTGCTGACGTCATCAGTGAGTACGTTGGGTTCTGTAAGATCAGTGCATAAAAACTAAAAAAATTTAAATTCTGCCAAATGAGAAACCATGGGATACAAAGCATCTAAAATTCCTACAAGAAAGAAAAGTAGCATTCGAGATCAGAGACGTTGCTAAGTCATTAATGAGATTAAAGAAAAGGCAACGCTCATCATGCAGGCTGTTGATTACCCCCTTCATAATAATTATGTATGGTTGCCCTCTGGGAAGAGACTCAAATGCCTGTCATGAATTCCTACTTAACATATTTCCGAGCGGTAAAGAAATGACTTGGAATCAGGGACGTAGCCAGGATTTTGAAAGGGGAGAGCCGTTATGCGTTTTACGTAGCACCCCGTCTGGGTCGAGGGGGCAAATTCCCTGTGAAGTAGCACATTCTGAACGTTCTTAGGACTGTTTTGAGAGGATAAAGTGAAAATTGCAATAAACACATTATAAATAAGCGCAACAATAATTATAATAATGTGAAATGTGACTAAATGTTTTTTTTAAAACATACATTACAGTTTTGTTTGCTGACAGCTACCATTATCAAATGACTGGAATGTACTGTACATGTTAAGATATATCTCCAGCTTGCCGACTGGTGGCACTGTGTCGGCAAATCATGTCTGATCTGATGTAAGCAGGGGTCCCCCGGGTGTGGTTGCAGGGCCAGATTAGTTGGTTGTACAGATGAGAAAGTTGATGTGCACCCTCCTCTGTTCATGTTGCTGTCTGTCTTCCTGATCCATATGGAATCTTTGATCCTTCTACTTTCGAGATCAGCTTCCTTTTCTAGTACCTAGGGGTGTTTCCAGTCTAGAATGTGATTATGTTTTAGCATATGTCCTGTGATGGCTGATTTAAAACTGTCCTCTGAGTCCGAACCTCTCATAGCTCTCGTCTGTGCTCCCTTGGTAATGTTTTCTTCAACCTCTTTATGGTATTCACCTAGGCGGATGTTTAACTTTCTACCAGTCTCTCCAGTGTAAATCTACTTGATAGATAACTCCACTGGTGTTGTTATCGGAGATCTTATCTTTCGGGTGGACCAATTGGTTTCTCAACTTGTTTTGAGGTTTGAAATATATGTTGATTTTGTACGTACTCATCACCGATCTGATTTTCTCTGCTAGACCACTAACATGCGGTATTATGACTGTCGCTTTGGATTTCTCTCTATTACTTGTACTTAGAATGTTGTCTTTGTTATTTACTTTATAATTGCTGTTTTACTTTTTGGGGATGTTTCAAAGACTTTAAGGTAGGGTTTCTTGTTTTCTCTAGTATTATTGGCTACAGTTTTGTACAAAAACCATTATTAATTTTGAATAGCTAGAAGTCACTCTCTAGAGTAGGAAAATTACACTGTTGTCTATTGTAGATGCTGCTAATGTACTAATTGTCAATTTCTATTTTCTCAGTAGGTAAGAGAGAACCATCAACATCAAAAAGGCCAAAGTTAGACAAAGGTATGTACTGCATGCTGAATTGTTGCTTGTTTATTTTCCCTGAATAACTGTAATGATGTAGAGAATGGTCAGTATAATTCATCTGATAATTTTTATCTGTGATTTAATCAATTAATTTTTGGTGGCTCTAAATAATTAAATTATACCAAAAGCAGGTACAAACAAGTATTCTTCCAAAATCAGAAAAAAGTATTTAAAAATGTGGAAAATATATTACTTCTGTCCGATTTCTTGCCTCCATCTACTGTACTGCTGCTAATGCTATGTTTGCCGTACGTGTTTGTACTGGGATTTTCTACTTTCCACTTTCAATACTTTGATCTTTTGCAAACTGTTCAAGCCAGGTCCATATAGAAAAAATATGCCTAGAAATGTTGGGTGGACTACAATTCAGGTGCCTGTTCTGTACCTACAAATCTGTACAAAAACCATTATTAATTTTGAATCATATACTGTAGCTAGAAGCCACTCTCTAGAGTAGGAAAATTACACTATTGTCTATTGTAGATACTGTTAATGTACTAATTGTTAATTTCTATTTCCTCAGTAGGTAATGGAGAACCATCAACATCTAAAAGGCCAAAGTTAGACAAAGGTATGTACTGCGTGCTAAATTATTGCTTGTTTATTTTCCATGATTAACTGTAATGATGTAGTGAATGATCAGTATAATTCATCTGATAGTTTTTATCTGTGATTTAATCAATTAATTTTTGGTGGCTCATAAATAATTAAATTAGCCAAAAGCAGGTACAAACAAGTATTCTTCCAAAATCAGAAAAAAAGTATTTAAAAATGTGGAAAATATATTACTTCTGTTCGATTTCTTGCCTCCATCTACTGTACTGCTGCTAATGCTATGTTTGCCGTACGTGTTTGTACTGGGATTTTCTACTTTCCACTTTCAATACTTTGATCTTTTGCAAACTTAGTTCAAGCCAGGTCCATATAGAAAAAATATGCCTAGAAATGTTGGGTGGATCCAGGGAATGCTGACTACGGCTGCCCCCACAGTGAAAAAGTATACAAAGAAGAAAAAAAGGAGAAAATTAAAAATTGAAACTACTGCATGACATCTGTATGAAATTTGAGCACATAGATTGATTACGATAGTGACAGTCCGACAGCTTTTTTCATGAGCCATTGCCTCTCATCAAGAATTAAACAATAATTTCATAAATTTTGAATTAATTTCAGTAATAATAAAACAGTTTATTAGAAAGCTAGATTTGATTATCCAGACAGTTCCTTCATATTGTCATAAATCCTATACCATAAATACTTGAAGCGCCACTCACAAATTATCACCACACTTGAATATGCACCGCACCAAACATGGTTATTTATAGCTAAGCGCTGCTGCTTAATCTAGAGTATAATATTACCCTGTATGTATTTATGATGATATACAGTGGTACTTATGGAAGTTACTGTACGAACTAGTCCACTCCTCAAACACTTTGAGACTCCGGTATAAAGCGCTATATAAATCAAACTACTGTACAGTACATTACATTAGGCAATTTTCGTTTTGACTACACGGCCAGTCTACTACGAACTAATAGAGCGTAACAGACATCTGCGCATACTCACAAACCTTACTGGCTATATCGGCGTTGTGACAGCTTCCGCGACAACCCCAATTTCTGAATTTGGCATAGTGGTGACTACCCTAATATTGACCAATCAGATCACCGGATTGTTTAGCAAACTGCTGGTAACTTTTTTGTTGGGGGTTGCAATTTTCATCGCATCCGCGATCGAGCATTGTTCGTTTAATAATGAATTAATTATTAATTATTAAAACAAGTGAGTAATTAAATGTTTTATATAAAGGCCTATTTATACACATGCAATAAATGAGGAATGAATAGTCACAACATAAATTTAGGTAAATCAGGGGATAGTGAAAAAAGAGCCTTGGGCTTAGGCCTAGCCTTGTCAGGGTGGATTTCGGGTAAGAGAAAACACATTATCTGGTGCCGCTAGCTAGGGCATCTGCCCTTGATATCGTGGATCAAGCCTTGCTATATAAATACCTCTGTTTAAAATTGTTATTTATTTGTACATTATCGTTGCATTTGGAAAATTGCCTGAGCAGGCCTGACATCCCTCTTCTCCCGGTTAATGACTCTTTTGACACCTAGGCTAGGCTAGGCCTAGCCTAGGTAGATCCTAGCCAACAGCGAAACATCACTCAGTATTTTCTGGAAACTTTTTATTTTGTATACAGTATTTGACTAAAGTTTTCTTTCACATTTCCTTTTTTCAAATATAAAACAAGGGAACATTGTTCTCTGGTAATAAAACCATGGTCGACTAACTCCCCTCCGTAGGCCTACGTACGTGTGCTGTGTCGTCGTAGTCGCTTAAAAAAACGAAAACAGCTCTTGGTGTAGTACGCAAACAGTGTCTTGGTGTTGCCGTCACGGTCCATTAGTTCGTAGTAGACTGGCCGCGTAGTCAAAACGAAAAATGCCTACTACTGAACTGTGAGATACATGATATAGGTATACTGTAGGAATTGGCATGGAAAGCAGCACGCCAATATTATTTTTTAAGCGCCACTCTCGAATAAGGGCTGCACTGAAGCCTCCAAATTATTTAAAAGCGCTGCTGTGCTTATTCAAGCATTTAAAGTATATAGAGTATCTGATATTGTGGTACTAATGTTTACTTTCCTAAACTCTAAAATCTCTACACAGCTTGAGAGCCGCTGTTATAGAGCATACATTTATTCACTATCTGTAGTAGCCATGCTTAATATTATTTTTCATATGTCAATCATTCATTAGACCTAATATTATTTTTTATATTAAACCAGATAATACATAGTTTTGATATAGAAACTGAAAGCAATAGTGCCATGGATATTGTCTCTTTTTGTACCACCAATATCGAATGTAGTTATGTGTGTTGGAAATTTCATTAATTAAAATGTATCATCTTTTTATCTCACATTTTATTTTATAATTTTTTTAATTGGGATTTCATAAAAATATATACAATATATACGATTGAAATTAAAAACAATTTCAATTTAACAGAAAACCTCTGACTAAAACATTTGCCACACATTAAGCAAATTGTTTTACAAGGAGAACTTAAACAATTAATTGTTTTGGGCATTTAATTTTATTTTGGTATTGCTTTAACACCAGAAAATCTTTTTATACCTTGTCTTCACCCATGCAGTATAAATCATCATCATCATTATCCATCGACCACGGTCGAGATAGGCAACACTCGGGTACTCCATCATTCTATCAGCCATTGCTAGCGCAAGATCATCCGGTCTAATACCAGTATCTCTTGCAATTGTGTCAGGATAAAGGCCTGTTTATACTTCAACGATAACAATAAAAAAGCTATAAAGCAATTGTTCATATAGAAAATAAAAGAAATAAGAAAAGTTTTTACAATAGAAAGATTTGATAACGATTTATCAGATATGCGATAAAAACATATTTTGACAAGTCAAATCAGATGATATGTCATAACATTAAAATCGTAGTAGTAGCAATGCTTTTATAACTTTACCATGATTATAACGTCATCTGATTTGATTTGTTAAAATATTTTGTTATCGTATACACGATAAATCCTAGTCTAAAAACTTCACTTATTTCTTTTGTTTTCTATATAAACAATCGCTTTTTTATCGTTATCGTTGAAGTATAAACAGGCATTAAGTATAGTGGTCTACGCCCACTTCTTGAAAATGGCAATTTCAGTAGCAGAACAATTTTTAGAAATTGTTCCGTGGCTATGGAAATATCACATTTTAAATGATACAAAACAAAAAAATGGAGATTATAAAATTAGACCTACCAAAATCTATTTGAAAAGAACTTAATTCTAGACAGCCTGTGCATTTTCACATTGATCATAGAATTGTCAACACATCTGGTTTGATTCAACTGCATTTTTACCATTTTGGGAGTTTGCAGCAACAAGCTTTTATACATTTAAACGCAGCAGTTTTGCGATGTGACACAATATTACAATTGCATGTTAACTTTTAGTATGTTATTATGTGTATATTTCAGTAACAGATTCTGCAATAATTCTTTCCTTTGCAATTAGTTCTGTGTTCATTATAAATTCGTTACAGACTGACTAATAATCATCATCACCTTCATTTTTGTAGTGTTCTTTTTCAGTTTCTGCTAAATTGTCTATGTATAAGTTGTTAGTGTTGATACCGCCAATGACAGTAATGGGGGTCATGAAGATATTTATTTATTATTGTATTTATTTCATTTAATATCTTCCAGAAACAATTATCAGAGACTTCTTGAAAACAAGTCAGAAAAAGTTGTATCAGGATGAGAATCGAATGACACCAGCAATCTGGCATAAGCATCATGAAGTAGATATTGCAGAAGTATTCACTGAACTTGTCTTACTGAAATCCACAAGAAAATACAAAAAGGCAAAAGCTATATCAACACGGACAATAAAGGAAGGTGAAGTGACCTCATTAACAGAGATAGTGGATGTTATTAATTCAACAGATTCATGCAAGGTATTAATAACAGGAAAAGGAGGGATGGGCAAAACTACCCTCCTGAGATATATTGTTCATAAATGGGCTACCAATACTGATTTACATAATTACTTCGCTGATAAATTGCTGTTTATGATAAATATCAAGGACGTTAAAGCAAGTGCAAGTTTCTTTGACAAAATTATGGAGCAAATCGATACAAAAGAATTAATTCATACAAATGATTTATTATGTGGATCTGTTGAAAAATTTCTGTTTACCCATGCCAATAAAATAGTGATTTTGTTAGATGGATATGATGAGTTAGAAAAAGATGCTAATGACCCAATAAACCTTTTTAAAGGACTTCAGTTGCAACAAAGCACTGTAGTGATAACTTCACGACCGGAAAACATAGCTCATATGGTTAGAAGCTGTGATGTACATATTGAAGTGAAGGGATTCAGTCCAAAAAGCATTAAGAACTATATTTATAGTCATTTTCATGTAATCAATAAAAATGAAGTAGGTAAATTACTAATTAAAGAGTTCAGACTTGATTCAAGTAATGTACTCGTTTGGGGCTGTAATCACCGAGATGCATTTGCATTGTGTTCATCTCCACTGTTACTGCTTAAGATATGTACTATATGGGAACAAAACAAACGCCTTCCTAATGATTTGTCAGGTCTTTTTAAAGCACTGTTTTGTTGCATTATCAGTCAATATATAAGAAAGAATGAAAAAAATAAGACTGCTATTTCCCAGTTAGATGAAATCCCAAAGCAGTATAAAGATTCCATTCTATTATTAGGAGAGTGCATGTATGAAGGCCTAAAGAATAATAATAAATTGATTGTTTACAAATCTGTTTTGTCAAGAATGACGAAGAATGAAAAATTAATAGAATTAGTGCTAAAACTTGGATTTGTTTATGAAGATACCCCTGTTGATCAAAGTGATGTAAAAGAGAGGTGTACACCTCCCCACAAATTAATTCCGGAGGCATTATCAGGCTTTTACCTGTCTGAGCAAATTCAGAATGAGAGATTGATAGCAGATGATTATGAGGCGATAAGATCTAATAAATATTTACATATGACAAGAGTATTTACAATAGGGTTTCTAGGTACTGATGCAGGTAAATTTCTGGAACATTGTTTGACCATCAAAGATTTTTACTCAATAGAACAATGTTTAAGATTTGTAAAAGAAGATCATAAGGACCATGTACTACAGACATTAGATAAACAGATGTCCAATGAAATGAAAGAGTGCTGTGAACAAATGTGTGAGTCATTTAGAAGTGTTCTTAATGATGATGAAACTGTAAACAAAAGTGTGCATTTATTCAAACTTATGAGAAGATGTTGCGATAAATACAAAAATTCTCCTGATAAACTTGAAAAGAAAGCAATATCATTAGTAGATACATACAGTGATAAGTCCTTGGTCTGCAGAAGAATTGTACATATCTTAGTTCTTTTGCAAGCAATAAAAATTGAGCTCTCATTTAAAGGAACAGTTTATTTACCGCCTTTGTTCACACTTGATAGTCGTAAAACAGGGTGGATACTTCCTTATATTTCGAGGTTTGAGAATGAGCAAATAAGAATCCTTTCAGCAGAGATGGATAAATTAAATTTGAAATATAAGTATACTTCTGTCAATTTAGACATTAAATCTAATTCATCATTTTTTATTCATTTTCTAAAATATGCAAACACCCTATCTAAATTGTGTGTACAACAGCTTACAGCCAATAATCTAGAAAATCTGGTCAATTTGCTAGATGAAAATATGACATTACATTGGAAAGATGTGGATTTTAGTGGCAATAACCTATCTACAATCAGTGGAAGAACATTGGCTAAGCTTTTAAAGATCTCTCCAGACCTAATCCATATTGACATGAGTCATTGCAGCTTATCAGGCAGTGTTGTTAATGAAATGATGGAAGAATGTGATAGGATGAATGTAGTATTAAAAGACAACATACTAATACTGAAGGGCAATCATGACTTTTCAGATATTGATGGAAAATCACTTGCTGAGTTAGTTAGGGTACTTGATCAGACTAATTTTAAATGGAGTTATTATTCACTTACGGCTGATAACCTACAAAAACTGGTTGAATCAATAGGTCTCAACAGGAATTTTACTGTGCATAATGTAAATTTGAGTAATATTAACCTATCTTCAATCAGTGGTAAGGCATTAGCTTGCTTTGTTAAGATCTTTCCATACCTGTACAGACTAGACTTAAGTCAATGCAATTTATCAGGCAGTATTGTTAATGAAATGGTGGAGGAATGTGGTAGGATGAATGTAGTGTTGAAAGACAACATGCTTAATCTGAAGGGCAATGACCTTTCAGATATTGATGGTAAATCACTTGCAGAGATAGTCAGGGTAGTCAATCTGAAATGGAGTGATTATTCACTTACACCTGGTAACCTACAAAAACTGGTTGAATCAATAGGTCTCAACAGGAATTTGACTTTGCGTAATGTAGATTTGAGTAATATTAACCTATCTTCAATCAGTGGTAAGACATTAGCTTGCTTTGTTAAGATCTGTCCATGCCTGTACAGACTAGACTTAAGTCAATGCAATTTATCAGTCAGTATTGTAAATGAAATGATGGAAGAATGTGGTAGGATGAATGTAGTGTTGAAAGACAACATGCTTAATCTGGAGGGCAATGACCTTTCAGATGGTAAATCACTTGCAGAGATAGCCAGGGTACTCAATCTGCTTAAAGTCAAACTGCTTAATTGGAGTGATTAATAACTTACATCTGTTCACCTACAAAAACTGGTTGAATCAATAGGTCTCAACAGGAATTTGACTTTGCGTAATGTAGATTTGAGTAATATTAACCTATCTTCAATCAGTGGTAAGACATTAGCTTGCTTTGTTAAGATCTGTCCATACCTGCGCAGACTAGACTTAAGTCAATGCAATTTATCAGGCAGTATTGTAAATGAAATGATGGAAGAATGTGGTAGGATGAATGTAGTGTTGAAAGACAACATGCTTAATCTGGAGGGCAATGACCTTTCAGATATTGATGGTAAATCACTTGCAGAGATAGTCAGGGTAGTCAATCTGCTTCTTATTTTTATACCTCCTTGCTTAAATGGAGTGATTATTCACTTACAGCTGATAACCTACAAAAACTGGTTGAATCAATAGGTCTCAACAGGAATTTGACTTTGCGTAATGTAGATTTGAGTAATATTAACCTATCTTCAATCAGTGGTAAGGCATTAGCTTGCTTTGTTAAGATCTGTCCATACCTGTACTGACTAGACTTAAGTCAATGCAATTAATATCAGGCAGTATTGTATGGCTACGGTCACACTAGAGTTTCAAGCCTGGCTTGACTCACCGCGGGTGAGATTTTCGTAATGTGACCGCATCTGCACCGACTCGCGCCTGGCGTGACCTCGATCTCAATCTACCTATCTCGATCCCGGCTCAGCACCCATATTGACCCTGGCGTGACCGAGATTGACATTTCCTCGTCGGCTGTCGACCATCACAGTCGATGACGCCGTTGCGTTTAGAAGTTCTTGATTAAAAAACCCGCGAGTTCTTCATGTGTGTTCAATCAAGACGCAATCATTACTTTTCATAAAAGTTAATTCAAATGTCTGCAGTGTCTATTTTATTTTTAAGTATATTCACGCCCCCCACCCCCCCACAAAAAGCTTGCCCCTGTCTTAAATGGAGTGATACAGCTGGTAACCTACAAAAACTACAAATAGGTCTCAACAGGAAACTGACTGGGCATGTTGTAGATTTGAGTAATAATAACCTGTCTTCAATCAGTAGTAAGACATTAGCTTACATTGTTAAGATGTCTCCAGATCTGAGGATTTTAAACTTAAGTCATTGCAATTTATCAGGTAGTATTGTTAATGAAATGGTGGAGAAATGTGGTAGGATGAATATAGTATTGAAAAGCATGCTTGAACTGATTAAAAATGGTGACTTTTTTCGTACTGTTGATAAAGATTTTGAAACAATTATGAACCTGAAAGGTAATCGTGATCCTATATATATTTATATCACTTACATTTCTGGTATATTGATAGTCAAAGGAATTTGTCAGTCTGATTATAAATGGAGTGATTATTCACTTACAGCCATTTACCTACAAAAGCTGATTGAATGAATCAATAGGTGAAAACAGGGAATTGAATTGGAGCAGGGTAGCTCTGAATAACATTAACCTGTCTTCAATCAGTGGTAAAACTTTAGCTCACCTTTTAAAGATCTCTCCATACCTGGTCCATATTGACATGAGTGATTGCAGATTATCAGGCAGTATTGTTAATGAAATGTTAGTGGAATGTAGTAGGAGGAATGTAATTTTTTAAAGTTTGTATGCTTAATTTGAAGGGCAATGACCAGGGGCAGATCCAGTAGGGGAAACGTACCCCCCTCCCCCCAATGTTTCGCAATAAAATTTTACAAATTTCAATGCAAATCAATGTTATGTGCAACTCACCAATTTTGAAACTGTTGTGGGCCCCCTCCACATTTTAAAAATTCTGGATCCGCCCCTGATGACCTTCCAGAAACTGATGCAAATAATTTCCTGTGCTCGTAACGATAATGTATAATGGTAGTACGGTGTAAGACCTTCAGATGAGGTAATTATTTAAAAAGCTTGTTAAATCAGTACTGTAGGTGTAAATTGACTAGGAAATGGTAACATTTGAGTCAAATTTTTAAAAAAAACCCTTTTAGGACAACCTTATTCAGGGGACACCCCTTAGGGGAGACACTTGAACAATGGGAAAAAGAAAATATTTAGAAAATTCTCTATGGCCATACAGGTACCTCTCTTCGTGTGATATAAACCAATCTTGTCAAATTTCACTTTTTACTTAATTGCAGAATTTTTTTTTGGTTTTGTAAAAATGGTACATTCACAAAGGATTCTAATAATAACCTGAATCCTGAAATCTATGTCATATTCTATTCATGCTTTTCTTGGACATCAAATAGAAAACTCAATATTCCAAAAAAAGAATATTTGATCATTCATTATGTACAGTATCATAATTCTATAACAGTGCTGTTGTTATAAAAATGTTTACTTACTGGTATGTTAAATTTGATTCATAATACTTTTTAAATGCAGTTAAGTTAATTTTACAACTTATTATTATAAATATAATTTTTGGGTCAATTAAACTAAAATAATAAATAATTTATATCATCAATTTGATATTTGTAGTTTATGTATAACATTCCATTGATAGTGATATACTTTTCTAGTTACTTTACCACTATGGAAAGAGAAAAAAAAATTGTCATTAAGTACATTTTTGTTAAGTATTCATTGAAGATTGGAAAGAATAAAAAAACATTTGTCATTAAGTAAATTTTTGTTAAGTATTCATTGTAGAAGTAACACTAAAGAAGCACACCCCCATAAAATTAATCGCACCCCCATAAAATTAATCGCGCCCCCCAGTCGTCTTCCCCCAAAAAAAAATTACAGTCAAGTAGTTAAAAATCACCTAACATCACCTTATTTTGTGAATAAGCGCCCCTCAACTGATCATCGACCCCCCACCTTTGCGCCGCCCCCATTTCAAGACTTCTAAATACGCCACTGCCGAGCAGAAATATAATAATAATAGAAAATAATAGAATTAAGGCAATTTCTTTTATTTTTGAATTAAACCAAACTGTATACCGTATTTTGTCAGAATTTTGTAAATTGTTTAAAAACCCTTATATAATTTTATTAACTAGATACAAACTTCATTTAAATTTTTACCTCAACCTCGATTCATTCTTATTTTTTCTTAAATTTTTAAGCAATTTCAGCCTCAGTGTTCTTATACCTTTATCCTGTTATTGGATAAAAGAATGTTCAATTCAACAATTATTCTATTTTATTAAAAAATACCTATTGTTTGTGTTAAGTAAATTCCACATTGTTTCTTATAAAAGACCTAATAAGTTCATATCTTCCACTGTGAGGCAGATCAACATTTTTTCACTAACAGATATTTTGATTTGTGTTTCATTTGTAATCCCTTTCAATACAGTGGCACACATATAAACGAAAACAGAAAATCAACAGTAAAAAATAACTATAAAGAACTAAACATATTTTTCACTACAAATGAAACATCTTACCAGCCAATAAAGGTTCTGTACGAATGATTGGGAAAGGTATTAATGTTTTCTGTTTTAACAAAGGCATAAATCATCTTAAAAATCAATTAAAATCAGGAAACTTAAAATCAGCGAACTCGTAATAGTTTTCGCCGTCAATATACCGTAGCAATAGTGTATCTAGGGGGTGAGCGGGGTACTACGGAAGCCCGTTAGTGTCAACAGTGAATAAAAATTTCAAATCAGTTAACTGGCGGCCGCCACTTAATTATCTGGCGGCCGCCACTTAATTATCTGGCGACCGCCACTTAATTATCTGGCGGCCGCCACTTGATTATCTGGCGGCCGCCACTTAATTATGGGTACCCAGGTTGCGGTATAGCATTATCTTGATGTAGAACAGGCCATTAAAGAGCATGATTGGCCTAGCATTTAATATACGGTAGCATTTAGCCTAGCTATTCATTTTAGCTACAGCTTGTAATAGCTTATAGGCATAATAGCAGTCATATAGCCATTCACAAAATATATCTATATCTTTGCTGTAGCACATCAACTGTATTATATGTTCTATTTTGCTGTTTATGTGAGTGTGATATTGTCTGTTATAGCTGAGTTAAATATTAAAGGGCATTATATGATTAAAAGCATATACTAGTAGCTGGTCACCATCTATACCTTATAATGGCAGTCATATAGCACCAATTTCAAAAAATATTAGCAATTACAGGGTTAAGTATTAAATAGCGATTAAAATTAAGCATTAAATACGGTAGTGTTTAAAAGCATGGTAGCTGGTCACTATCTAGCTATAATATCAATTTTATTATAGCACCAATATCACAAAATATAGCAATCACTGATTAAAAGCATGTTAGTAGCTGCCACAATGGTTTAACTGCATTTTTTACACAACGTTTGCGATGATAGGCGTTAGAGTTAAGCACGCCAGCAGTTTAATACCTTTGACCATTGAAGGCTTTTGCGCCTATAGGGTTAGGCACGCCAGCAGATTACCGTTGAACAGAATAATGTTTGCAACGATATTCGTTATAGTTAAACACGTCAAGCGTTCCGGGCGCCGATAGGCGTTACCGTTAAGCAATTTAGCACATTACCATTTAAAAAGCGTTTGCAACGATAGGCATTAGGGTTAATCACGCCAGCAGTTTATCATTGAATAGGCGTTTGCGATGATAGGCATTAGGGTTGAGCAGATCAAGTGAATAGGCGTTTGCGAAGATAGGCGTTAGGGTTAAGCACGTCAGGGGTTTGCAACAACAGGCGTTATGGTTAAGCACGTCACTGGTTTACCATTGAATAGGCATTTGCGGACGATAGGCTTTAGAATTAAGCACGTCAGGCGTTTGCGCCGATAGATTATATGGTTATTTTGTGGATTAAGTTTGGAGCACGTCAGTATTTTACCATTGAAGAGACGTTTGCGACGATAACAAATAG